CACTCACGCGTCCCTTATCACCGCGTGGCGCGCGAGTTAACGCTCCCTCCCTCTTCCCCGACCGCACCCCCCTAGTTCAGCAGCCCCTGGTCTGCAAAGCAGACTCAGGGTCCCTTATCGCTTTAAGAGAAGGTCTGATAAGGGAAGCAGGAGCCCCTCAAAGACTCCAAAGAAACATTCACGGTAATCGCAAGAAATTTTACTTGCCTCTGCAAATGCGAACGCTTGAAAGTGCAACACTTTCAGCCCTTAACGTTGTTATCTCGATAACAGCGACACAAAAGTTTGCCTCACTTAACTTCCCTTTTTTTTTTTTCTTTCTTTCTTTTTCCACGCGGTTTCGGCGTCGACGCATCTCTCCGCCCTTACTCACCCGCGCGGACGTTCCGCTTTTTCCTACGCGGACATATCCGGAAATCGATAGAGACCTGCGGGACCTCCCCCGAGAGGCGCCCTAGGGAAAACTCACCCCCGATTTTCCGACCGCGGCCCCCCCTCGACGATTTCCACTCCCCCCGTCAGGATGGAAATTTATTCCCCCAGACCTCCCCCCCCCCCCGAGATTTCATCGTCGCCTTTATTTATCGACGCGAAGCTTCCCATGACATCGTATCATACACTCAGAAGAAAAATCAAGAAACTCGGTAGAGTGTCAGAGCCAAGTACATTATCGGCCGAAAAACTCATTGAACGTACCGAAGAATCTTTACATTAATTCTATCCAAAAAATCCGGATAAAATTCGACCGTGAGATTTTTCGCCCCCCTCGCCCCCTTGCTCCCACCGCTCCCACCCTTCCCCCCCTCGTCTCGCCCTCTTTAGAAGCGGCCCCGAAAGGGTAAAGCGTCGGCGAGACCCAAAGGGGTGGCCGGGTGATTCAACATGGCCGCCCCGTTGCCCTTGCCTCGTTCGTTACCCCGCAGGGGGCGTGGGGGATNCCCCCATTCCCCCGCGTCCCGCGGTTCTCCTTTTTCGCTTTTTAATTAGGCCCCGTCAGGGCCGGTGGCGTGGGTGTTTTCCTGTATTCTTTATTTTTTTTTCTTTCTTCCTTTCGTTTCGTCTTTTCGGTATCCCTCTCTCGCTCTATATATATAAATATATAGGTTCCCTGACGAGTATCGGACGACGACGGGGGGGGGAAGCGAAAGGGGGTGACACTTTTCCCTCCCCCTGTTTAATTCTCCTTCTTTCCCTTTTTCTTGCATCGGGAGACCACTTCTCTCATTTTGAGTTTTCCCCTCGATTTAGGTGTTTCCGAGACATGGAGGGGTTGGGGGGTGGTTGGAACCCCAGACGGGGCGTCGCGAGTTATTTAACCCCCCCCCCCCCATCTTGACGGAGTTCCGCGAAAAGTTCGGGGCGGTGTGCCCCTCTCCGCTTTTCATCCCCCAAGGGGAGTTACGGGCCGAGTCGTACAACGGTTCGCTTAATCCGCAGTGATAGGCAAAGTTTTTCCCGAAGGAGGGCGCCCCCTTCCGCTCCTGCGGATCTCCCTTCTTGCGCGTTACTCTTCCCTTCCTTTCCGGACCCGCGCTATAAGGCACGGCGAGAGAGAGAAAGGAAAAGAAAAAAAAAAATCCCGGGAAGGGCGGAAACGCCATTTCCCTCCTTCCCTCCTGCCCCTCGCCCCCGCGAAGGACCTTATGTTTCATCCATGCCCCCCCCGATTTTTTTTCTCCACCCTTTTCGCTATTCCATCACCAAATTCACCGACGCGCGAGACCTCGGAAGAGTGATTTTTCAATGAGTTTTTCGACGCCCCCCCCTGTCGGGGGGGGAGGGAGGGAGCATATCCAACCAAAGGTCCATTAGCGATTAAGGCTGGTCAGGGATCATATCGAGAGGCTCTCGTCCTCTCACGCGAATTATGCGAACTCGGTCTCCTTTATGCCGTACGTGCGCGTACATAGAGGGGTGCATCCATTCGCCGTTTGCCCCCCCCCCCCCCCCGCCTTTTACAGGCTGTGTTTTCGAGAGAACTCCCGTTCAATTCTCCTTTTCTCACCCTCTCATCGGTATTACAGGGGGGGGAGGGGAACGCGTAGAGATCCTGTGGAGAAATCGAGGAAAATGAGTATCGACATGGGATGCGCAAATCCTTCGTTTAGTCCTTGGTCCGTGAGATGTAGAAGAGAAAGGAGAGAGAGTAGCATCGAGGATCTTCATTCGTACCTCGTTTCAGGACAACAAGGGTACTGTAGGGAGCCCCGACCTTGAGCATGGGGAGGGGGGCACTTCCCCCCCAGAGTGGCGGCGACACCCCGGGCGGGTGGGAGTCGGGTTAGGTTAGGTACGAAGGTACTCTCTCTCGGTGTACCCGTCCCATTACCGCGGTTGACTTTCCATTATCGTTACGCCACCCACCCCCTCCCGGTGTGGATGCGCCTTAACGTGCCGCAAGGAAATCGAGGGGGAGCCCAAGATGGGCCGCGGTCTAATGGCCCAAGGATAATGGATTTCCCGAGGATGAGTTACGACGTGAAATCCGCGGCCGCCATCTTGGATCCCGAGGTGCACACATCGAGTAGTCCTTCCGATCGCTTTTCGAGGTATTCGAAAGGCATCCGCGAGTCATTGGCACGGTGACGACGAAATGGAATCGTGATAAGAGGGGGGGGGATAAAGACACGGCGGGGGGGAGGCGACATGCACCATTATCCGAGCGCCCCGCGATTTATGGACGCGAGACAGATACGCAAAAAACGCGCGACGTCGTAAATTACGGGGCGGAGGCGATCCTCCCCCCCAACAACCCCCGGGAAACAGGCGCCCCGATTTTCTCTGCGCGTATTAAACCGCCACGGATAAGGGGCGGAGAGTGGGGGGGTGCAGGGCGCAGCGCGCGCGACCAAGATGGCCGCCAGTCTGCACTCGACGCTCGAGGGGGACGGACCTTCCCGGAGATGGAGGTTGTAACCTATGGATGATGGAGATCCCATGCGAGGAGGTTATTGCAGGACGAAATAAGAGTGAAGGGAGGAGTCGGACGACCTAACCTGGTTTAATGTGCGAATCAGCGATTTGATCGGTACTTTTCATTCGCTGATGATTGGTTTCAATGATTAATCGGCGCCGACGAGGTTTAGAAATGTGGGACGTCGGAAATGACTTGGGGAGATTATAAATGAGAGATTAAGCGGGAGAATAAATTAAATGGGAACGAATAGGACATGTATAATGAAGATCCTGAATATCGGGCGAGGCGTCGGGAAACTGCAGGTTAAAATGGGCGCTAGACAACGGCACCGATTACCATTTAACCTAACCTAACTCAACCGGGTCCGGAATGTTTTAGGGGGTCGGGGGTAGTTCCCCCCCGAGGAAAGGCGTGTCCCTCGTCGAGTGAGTTAAAATGCGACGCGCCTGCATTTTACGGATCGCGTACGAGGGGTGTTTGCCCCCGCGCCCCCTGACACCCCCCCCCTGTACATATCTCTCCGTGTACGCCCTGGGAACGACAATGCCCCCGACTTTACGGTCCCTGTTACCCCTCGGGGGTCATTTCCCCCCGCCCTCGATTTTATTTATACAACAGACTATTACAACATTCAATCGACAAGATTACGAGAGATTTAATCATCGGGATCAGGATATTTAATCGACTCCTTAATAACTCATGGAGTCGAATCGAATTTTTTCATCCCTCAGACTTTTGGGCGATTCCGATCGAGAATGTTCCGATAAAGTCTTGGGGGGTGGGAGCTTTGTACCGGGAATCGCGTAAATTCTCTCGTAAAAGCCCCCCCCCCCAGAGTCCATTGGGGGGTGAGGGTCGATCCTTCCTCCTTTACGAGGATAAAGCTCGCTTCGAGACGTCGAAGTGCCTCTCCTTCGAGATTTACCCCCTCCCATCGGAGGATTCCTCTCGAGACGATGTCCCGTGTTCCGTTTTTTTATTTTTTCCCTCTCTTTCCCCTCGATACCGAATTTCGAGTTCGGGACGCGTCGCGCCTCGAATTTAAGAAATTCATATCCTAGATGGGAATTTCGAGGGTGTTCGTTGCTGGATTCCTGGGGGAAAGACTTAAAAATGGCGTCAGAGGGGAGGGAGGGAGAGGGCACTTCGAGGTCGATTTTAATCCTCCGGATTAAGAACGGAAATCCGTCTGTTTAATTAAACCGCCCTCTGGGCATTGCGTCTACCGTAAACAGGGATACTCGGTTCGTCTCGATTTAACGCGCCTCTGGATGACTGGCGCGACGCTATTGACGCCACCTCGAGAAATCATTCTGCCATAACTCGCGTTCTGAGGCAGGTGGACGGGTCAAACTGGGGCCAATTTATTCCTTGCCGTGGCAGCTTTCCGATGAGCCTATGGGCGACCTCGTAGGTCGGGGGAAACGGAAGACATGGCGAGAACCGATTGCGCGTTGACGTGGACGGCCGCCATATTGGACGTGGAGGGGTTTCCTTTCGTTCGCTGTTTCTTCGTTGTTTCCTCGGCGTTTCTTTCAAGGAAAGCGATAAAACGAAAACTCGGCCGTATTAATTCTGCCGCGTTTAATCGAACGGAACCTCCCGCCCTCCGGAAACGGCGGAACGTGGACCAGATGCGGAGGCGCGGAATTAATGAAACGCGATAAATAATGTCGGAACGACGCCGAGATGACCCAGTTCCCCTAGGGGTAGGAGTAGGGGGGGTGGTTTATGCAAGGAGTTCCCAAGGAGGGCAACAATGGACACGAGGGACCATTATAAAAATGCAGATGGCGCGATCGGGTCGGGCGTCGCGGAAATTGAATTTGATAAGGCTAGTCATTTTTCCGAGGCCCTTTTTCTTTCCCCTACATCTCCCGGTTCGTTGTCTCGGCATCTCCGGGTCTCTACCTCTCCCTTATCAATGTTTAGTACATTTTTTTTTTTTATCAACGGTTTGTGTCAAATTCATCCTAAACACTGAAATTTCGGCCACACCGAGTGGACCTCGGTAATACGTAGCCTGATATAAAATCCTGCCCTTCCTTTCAGATGTCCTGACATCGGGCCCCGGGCCACCAGGATGCCGACGGACGACGACTATGGCCGAAGTTCACGTCTCCTGTCGCAGCAGCATCCCTCGGGGCAGTACGTCGGGTCGTCGGGGGTGGGCCTGGTATCAGGAGCGGTTTGCGCGCAGGGGGTGTCGTGCGCGCAGTCGAGCCCCCCCCCGGGAGGGTCGGGGGACCACCTTGAGAATTATGGGGTCCGCTACGAGAAGCCGGAGAAGGTGGACCCCCACCACCACCACCACTACCCCCACCACCGGCGGGAGGAAGATTTCGCCGCTCGAGTTTCGCACCAGTACTCGTCGCGGGTGGGGGGCCAGTCTCAGGGAGGAGGGTTGTCGGAGAGGTACTCGCGTTACCAGGAGCTGGGCTGCCCCGAGCAGTACCAGGGGGGGGACGGCCAGGGGGTGGCGTCGGCGGCGTCGGCGTCGGATCACCGTCGTCACGGCTCGCAGGAGGCGCAGGAGGAGGACTACGGGGGGTCGAAGAAGCACCTGCCAGTCGCCGATCAGTCCCGGGGGAACCCCTTCGGCGAGACGTTCCCCTCCCCCCCGTCGCCCGCGCCGGCGGGGGACCGTTTCGTGCCCCCGCCCCCCCTGTCGCCGCCGCCAGGGGAGAAGTACTCCTCCTCTGGGACTCTGGCTGGCTATGCTGCTCCTGATAGGCTGCTTGCCGCCGGTTCTCCGGTCCCCCGGTATCCTGGGGGGCCGGGCGCCTCCAAGGAGAGAGGCCCGCCCGACCGCGTGTTGGCCCCCGCCACCTCCTCGCCGGCTCATGGGGACCAACGGTACGGGGGAGGTGGCGCCAACGGCTCGCCGGTTCTGCAGCAGGACCGCTCCGGGTACTGTCTACCAGGTAGGGTTTGTCGAGTCCGCGGATAATTGGTAAACGTAACCGCGCGGGAATGACCCGGTTAATGTAACGCAGGAAAAATTGTTGAACCAGGAGGCGCGGGCAAGGAGGTGGCACCACCTGACAGGAGCGACAGGAGGTACCCCGGCCAGTCGGGGGGCGAGCTGGGGCTGTCCCCTCACCACGCGGCGCTCCTGCCCGAGAGGTATGCCGCGGTCAAGGGGGCCGCGGTCGCGGATCGCTACCATCGCCAGGAGGTGGCACCCGCCGCGACGGCGACGGTGGCGGCGCAGCGGCACGAGCGCTACCTATCGGCCTCGCCGAACCCGGAGGGCGCGCACCACCAGCGGTACCAGGGGTCGACCGCCTCCTCGTCCTCCTCCACCTGTTCCGCGGAGCAGTCGGCGCTGCAGCAGAGGAGGTACTCGGCGTCGGGCCCCGAGCACTCGTCGCCCGGACCTGGGGACCTGGCGGCGAGGTTCCTCGGTTTCCAGGAGGTGGCTCAAGCCACGCACCGGTACCTGGGGACGGACCGTTTCGCCGAGCAGCACACCCCGCGGTACGGGTCCGCGCAGGCGCGGGAGCGGTACCTGGTCGCGGCCTCGCTGCCGGGGGCGGATCGCCCCCCGGGGGGGCAGGGTCCCCCCGACGGCCGCTACTCCTGCTCGTCGACGGAGCGCCTCCTCGCCTCGGCCTCGCCGTCCTCGGACGCGGGCCGCTTCTACGGGGCCTTCGTCGGTTCCGGACTCCCGGGGGCCGAGAGGTACGGCCTCTCGCCGACCTCCGAGGGGGGCCTCAGGTACGGGCCCAAGTCCTCCGACAAGTACCTGCCGCTCGGCAAGAGCCTCCAGGCATACGCCGAGCGCTACCAGGGGGGCCCCGACCCCTTCCAGGGGGCCCTTGAGCGCTATCAGCCGGGCCCTCCTGACCGCTATCTCGCTCCTGCCGATCCCCTCCGGTATTCTCCTGCTCGCGGGGCCCAGGGCCCCGACAAGTACCTCGGCCCCCTCGCCAAGCCTAAGGACCGCTTCCCCCCGGCCGGTCCCCCACCCACCGGCCGCATAGCCAACCCCCCAGCCCCAGCGTCCGTCCCGGCGTCATATGTCCCCCCGAATGCCCACACCCCCGTCGAACGATACGTACCCCAGCCCCCTCCCGAAGTCCTTTACCCTGAACGGTACGCCGAGAGGTACGTCCCCCCAGCCGCCCACACTCCTACCGACCGCTACGTCCCTGCCGCCGACCCGGGGGATCCGTACATGAGGAGGGACCTTGGCTTCCACCATCACTATCGGCTACCTCCCCCTGGGTATCCCTACCATCAGGGGCACTTCCGGTTCAGGGGGCTCGCCTATGCCCCCCCTGGCAGGCTCGGGGGCAGCCCTGGGTCCAGCAGCTCCGGCAGCTCCACCTCCAACCAGAGGGAACTGTCCACGTCGCCGCTGCTCAGATCGAAGAACAGGAACCAGGTGGAGTTCCAACCTAGGCAGGGGCCTGCTAATCCCGCGCCCTGCTGCAGCCAGGATGTCCCCCTGCCTGGACAGAGGACCTGCTGCCCCACTCTTAGGCGGTCTTTGCCCCCCGGCGCGCTTCCGGCCATTCCCACGCAGACGACGCACTCATCTTGGTGAGTCTTTTCTCCTTTTGGGGTTAGGTTTCGCCCTTAATTTTACGCGCTCTGTCCCCTGGATCGAGCTAAGTCAAAATTAAAAGCCTTAACGAGTCTAACAAGTCCCGCAACGATGGAGCCCCCCTGGCCCCTCTCGCAATCTCGACGACCCCCCAGGGGGGTCGCGGCTCGGTATGCACGCCCCCGCGTAATCAGCCACCTGATAAAGCTCGGGAATTAGAACGGAAGAGCGCGCAGGGCCGTAATTAAGGGTGGCGGGTTAAACGTTATTTATGCCCGGAGGGCCGGCCTGGTACGTTCCGAGTAGTGCCCCCCTTAACGGGGGCCATTTCGCCCCCGACCCCCCACCCTGATAATTTCCACCCTATGCAGTCGTGTACCCCCCTAGAGGCTCCTCGATTCTCCAGGAATCTCAGAAGGACGAGAATTCGAGTCTACGTGGACCAGCTTCCGGGGGTCCTTTGCCCCCTACAATGCCCCTCACCGTCAGGGGTACCTGGGTCACCCCCAATCGACAGGGGGATTGGGGAGACAGGTACTTTTTACCACCTTTTTCACCTCAGAAAGCACCTCGCGAACCCGTTGCGAAGTTTCCCCTAAGAGGGGCTTCCATCTGGGGGGGGGGCTCATGGGGGGGTCTCCCCCTTTAACGTTAACTTCACTCCGCTCGAAACTTCCTCCAGTGTGCTGCCGATACTTTCACGTCGCCCCGGAGGATAATTAAATATCGACCCTTTAACTTCGCCAAGAGGCACCCCCCCCCCCTCCTTTCTCTCGATTTTTTCCCGGTACTCTTTAGAAGGGGTTCCTTGGGGGGGGATCAACCCCCCGCCCCCGGACTTCCGGAAACTCGGGACTCCTTTAAGACTTCCTCGCCGCGGTAATTAATCGTTGCTCTCGTTTCGCCGCCCCCTTATTATATGATTGTTAAATAGTGAATTTAGAGGGGGGGGGGGGGGGGGCTCTATAAGGTATACGGTTTGAAAACTTAAAAGATTTCCGGCGAGTCGGTTAATCTCGGCGGAGACGGCGAGAAAGATGGCGTCGCTCCCTCGGGATAAAAATCCCCCCGCGATGGGGGGGGGGGGCACACAAAGGGGGTGTTAATGGACGCGGACGCGATGCTCGGCAAGGATTAAAAGCACATTTCTGCGGTGCCGGCTCGTAATGTCACGTACGCGGAGAGTAATCCCCTTAGGGGGGGGTACGGAAAGGTTACTTGTTGCCCCCCCTTAATCCTTCTCCTTTTTCTTCCGCATTTCGCGCGTCGCATCTTTCTCCCTCGTTTTTCTACCATCCTGTCGTCTGGCAGCCTCGAATTCGGATCCCTCGTGAGACGCGGTTTTTTTACAAAAGTCCTGTCAAAGTTATATAGAAATCGGGTGAAATTAATGCGACCATCGCGAAGTAGTTTAAAAAATTATGTATCATACAATGTATATAAAATCGTGCAAAGAATCATGCATGAAATCATATCGAAGATCATACGCAACACCGGGCAAAGGTTTTAACCAGTCAGTTCATTGAGCTCTGTTTTGCATTTCCGCGGGACGCCCCATCGAGAGACGACGTATCAATCGAACGACGGAACGACAAAGACGCGACGCTACCCCCCCGCCATATAAGCGACGCCCCCGCGCCTCGGTAATCCTGGAAATAAAGTAAAACCTCACATAACCTATAAACAGCCTCGGCGGCGGGTTCCGACTTTAACGGCCACTTTCGCAGTGGATCGCGGTTTATCGTGCCCCCCCCGTTTACCCTCCTCACCCCACCCCCTCGCCCCCCACTGCTTTCCATAACCTATCGACGGCCTCGATGACGAGGTCGATGACGAGGGCTTATCGCGCTGGCGTTTATCGGCCGACGCCATGTAAACGCGCCTCCTCGTAAAGCGCTTTCCGTCGATTAGGGATTCGACCCCCCCCCCCCTTCCCCCCTATAATCAAGATCATCCAAAGGAGCATCCGACCATTAGGCTTGCACTATACGAGAAAATCTCGGGATTTTCCGTGATTGGGGGCGGGGGGCACCTGGGGGGGGGGGGTGACATCCTTTCATGGGTATTTGTCAAAAGACGAGACGCCGGAAAAGGAGAATTCGACGGTTCCGGTTCAAGGATCGAGGGGGTTTAATTAGATCCGTGGAGTGATCCCCCCCCCCCCTCCCTCTTTGCGGGATTACAACGACGGTGCAATTTCCGGGATTTTCGGGGGATTTTCGGGGAAGTCCGGGGGCGGACGTGTCCCGGGTATCGAGGTAATCTTCAATTTTCCCGAATAAGTGGTCGCGTGTCTGCTCAACCCCCCCCCCCCCCCCTCCAATTACCGGCCCGGCCAATTATCGCCAGGTACGCCTGCCCCTGGCCCCCCTTATCATGGGTGGATTTCTCTTATCGTTCGCGTCGAGGAACGGAATCCCCATGTGTGGCGAGGGGGTTCAGGGAAAATCCAGTTCCCCCGGGGTTTGCGTACCCTTTGGGGGGTTCCCTCCCTCCCCCCCCCCCTCAGTGCGCCCTCGGCCACAACCCCTAAGGCGGTAATCCCGAAAAACTCATAAAGGGAGTCCCGTAAAAGCGCGGTAAAGCCGCACGCCTGGCAGTAAACACAACCGCCATATTGCTTTGGGTTGGGGGGGTGTCCCCCAATTTCGAGAGGGGGAGGAGGAGGACGGAAGTGTCGCGGTTTGTGAAAGATCCCCGCGAAGCGGAGTCTCGGTGTATGTATATTAGTGTTCGGTAATTAACGGGAAGTCCCACCCTAACCTCAATCTTTTGGCGAGATAGGCGCGATGCCCCCCCCCCCCCCGGATGGGGGGTGCCTGGCTAGAGAAGTTCGAGTCATTTCCGGCGGTTCTCTTATCGGAGGCTAGTTTGCGATATGCCTCGATTTTTTTTTTTGCGACGGGGGTGGGATTTTGCGAAAGGGATGGGATGGTATTAATGGCGGATTGAGGTTAGGGTTCGGTCGGAGATCGACGGAGATGGAGGGCGTCTTTGTCCGGAAGTGGGACGCGAAACTCTGGAGGACGCAGGGACGAATGCGCCAATTTGGGAAATTGCGAGGAAACAAGGGCCACGCAAACTCGGCTGACGTCCTGGACCGCTCCTCCATTCTGGGATCGAGTTTGAGGTTAGGTCCGCCCGCGGCACTAGGGAGGCAGCGCACCTATTTCACCCTCGCTTTGTTCGCGGCCGTTTACGGGAGCCTGGAAAGTATTGAGGAGGGCGATCGATTTTTTTTGCGGGACCATTTTATGCAACTTTTCGACGCCAGAGGCGCTGTGGTGACTTCCCGTAAAGAGACAGGGACTTTCCGCGTTGTGCTTGGCGCGCGACTCTGTTTAACCCTGACCGCGAAGTTGTATCTCTTTTTTGCCCTTTACACCTTACTTAAGCGATTCTTCGACTTCCGGTCGTCCTTCCCGTAAAGAAACCCGGCTTTTACTCGTCGCACTTGGTGCGCGACTCTGTTTAACCCTGATCGCGAAGTTCGGGCTCGCTCTTAGTCCCGTACACGGTTCCGGTGCTTGTTGACGCAAACTGCGGGGCAAACTCCACCGCGACGCCATATTGCCGGCGAAGTTCGGCTCAAAGCTCGACACTTCGCCGGGAATTTCGCTCCATTAGGCGATTCCGAATTAAACGGAGGGGAAGGGAGTACCCGGAGGGGCGAGCTCGTTAATCTCCGCGCAATCTTAATCTCGGGTTAAACGCTAAACCGACGTCCGTGGGGTCCACGCTCTGCTGTATACGTGGCTCAACGAACTCCCAGGGTGGAGGGCGATTAGTTTGTTCTTACGACTCCCACGCGACTCTCGGCCATCGGGATGGCGAAAAATTATCGCAGCATCCTAAGACATTCGGCGAGGTTTCCAGCCTGGTTGTACGACACCCTGGTCCTTGAACCAGCTTCTTCTACGGTCCTTATCATAAGGAAGGGTCGATAAGACGATGACGTTGGATGCTACGAAGTCCTGCCACACCGGAAGGGACGTTAACTTCAGAGCCAATAAAAGCTCCCTCTCCGGGGCCGCGATCCGGGGGAACGGAAGTGGGTGGTTCGGTTAATTGACAGTCGCCGAGAGGGTGCTTCGAGGGGGGCAAGTGCGCGCACGCCCCGACCGCGGATGCTCCTCTGGGGGGGACTCCTTACAAGGAGAGATAAAACCCGGCTTCCGGGTACTCTCTCGAGAGCTCTCCTTTCGCTAATTGTGTTCCTTCAGTTTTCGACTCGAAATTCCCATTCTCGATTTTTTTTACCCATCTGTACCCATGCTTCATTCTTCTTTTATGGTCTTCATTACGCGGCGTCCCTTCGGTTCTCGACGTGAAATTTCCATTCTCGATGTTTCGTCGTCTTTATTTCATGTTTCATATTTTTTTTTGCATTACCTTTACTCACCGCGGTACGCAACGCGAGTGCAGGTCTCCGATGCACCGAGAGAGGGTGCTTTTGCGCGCCCCTGGGAACGAGTCTCGGTGTGTCCTTCTTTCCTCTCCGATGTCTGCATAATTCATGGCCGAGCCCCGAGTTCGGGCCGATGGGCGCCGCTTCCACGACGCGGGTGCATAATTGACGGCGGCCCGGCTCGCCGGGAAGCGGGGCCTCCCGGGGGAAGAGTGCACCCCGGGAAGAGCGGCCTCCTGGAGGACGAATTTCCGCGGGACGCGTCGTTACGCCGGAAACTCGGCGTTTAATCGCGAGCGGCGTGGCCGCGGGTCGATAAAACGTCGACGGCGCACTGTGGGGGGAAACGCACCCCGCGAAAGTTGCCCCCCCCCCCGCGATTATTCGGGAATTCCTGGTCGGGCGACCGGGCGTCGGTCCCGTCGTCCTCGTTAACGGCGTCCTCGCCCGTTAATCCGTGCCGGAATCAAAACGTCAGGACTGCTAATTGATACCGAGCTAGAGGGCGGGTCGGTAAGGCTGCGTGCGATATTAACGAGCGGGCTTGACCCGCCACGTGACCCGACCCCTGTGCGAAGCCTTCGGGCGCGCTCGACAGACTTCGGCTCCGCTCGGCCCGAGGGCCGCCGCGCTCGATAACGCAGCCGAGCCGGAGCGCCAGTCTCCACCGAGACGCCACCCGAGACGCTTCGCCTCTGTGCTCCCCTATAACGGCCACCTAGCGACACGCCCTTTTCGAATTGAGAGGACCAACGACTTCCCTATGACCGTTTCCGTTTTTAGATGGATCTGATTATGAAGTTAATTATTCCTGTAATACGTCATAACAGGACGAAGAGAGGATCCTTTTTACTCCCCGTTGTACACTTGTTTTCAGGGTTCGTTCGGCGAGCAGCTGCAACGCCCCGTGCGGCGGTCGTTACGCTTGATTACCGATATTCGGGGCCACGTTAATTGCCGTCAGTAAAAGCTACGAGAATAACGGCCTTTCTAACGCTCATAACGGGCTTCGTTTACGGTGGGCTGACCGTACGCAAGGCACTTCTACTGCGCGCCTGTCGAGGGCCCCCAGGGCTGCGAGTCGATCGCATGGTCAGGCGCACCTGATCGCTCCTAATTAGAAAAAAAAAAAAAAATTCATGAAAAGGCACCGTAACGAGGCCGAAAGATTGACGGACAAGAGGATAAGGACGAGACAAAGACTCGGATGTTTGAGCGAAAAATATTGAAAAGGGCACGGCGCGGGAGGGACGGGGAAAGTAAGGAGAGGAGGAACGAGGGAACTTTTTTGTTTAAGTAGACGAGAAAGCGGAAAATAACGAGGGGTTGGGTGGGGGGGTGGGTGGAGGTGGACGAGAGCCTCCATTTAGGAGAAAGTGCCGTTCTCCGGGATATTTCCGACTAGAAATTTTCCCTCCTTGTGACGTAACGCGCCGGGCGGCCATTGTCCTCTGGCGAATGCAAGGAGGGGGTGGGTGCCCCCCGCCGCCCCCTCTGCCTTTCTCTCGAGGAGAAGGCACGTACGGCTGGAAATCCCTCGCGAAGAATATCCGCCACTTTTATCTCCCTTTTCCCCCGGGAACGGCAAAATTCGGGAATTAATTTAATTAATTCCGCGAGGGACGGGGGGGGGNGGGGGAGAAAGAAAAAGTAAATTACTCCGGCCATTTCCCCCTCTCTCCTAATTTGATTAACCTTTCGGGGCTAATTGGCGGCACTCCCCTCGGGGTGTAATTCGAGTTGGCGTAATTCGCCCCCGTGCCCGAGCCCCCCCTCTTGTTCCTATTCCACGTAAATCGTAATCGACTGGCCTGTCTTTCGGATGGCTAATTAGCCCGCCCTGTTCGCAATCGATAGCTTTATCGCGATTGATGCCCCCGCGACCCCCCGGGTCGAGGGGGCGGGGGCTCACCCGCAAATAATAACGACGATCGCGTGTAAGCCGGTTATTAGTGGAGAGTAACCGGAACTGCTTCCCTTGCTAATGATTATGTTCGCCGTTCAAGTACGCCCCGGGCCACCCTAATGGCGCCACTTAATCAGCCGCCCTTGCTCGAATGCATTAACGCCCGGGCGAGGTTAGGCCTTTTCATGTACCGCGGGTAAAACTAATCGTAACAATATGGACGGGTCGAGTGAATTGCAGAGGTCGACATGACGTCGGTAATCGGCTATCTGACCTTTTTTTACCCCGCGATAAGTTCACGGAGGCCTTTAAGGGGATGCGAATGCGGCACCCGGGGGGTCGTCGCTTATGAAACTTCTTTACGAACTGGGCCCACCGAATCGTCTCAAACTTTACTATCTGAATATGGAGGCTGTAAGGAAGGTCCTGACACCCGTGAGATTCCATATTTTATATGAAATTACGGGACCGACACGTCGAAACGTTTTTATATGAAATGTGGTATATAGATACCATGAGAAATGAAATTTCATGAGCGGCGCTTTATTCTTTAGGGCCTCCATAATCACGGGTTAATGTTTCAGATAATTCGGTGTATCCGGGAGAAAAGTTTTATAAATACTTTTTTCTCTTGTGTATACGTCACAGTTTCATATCATCTTAAGGTGTATACGTCACAGTTTCATATCACCTTAAGGCATCGCACCTGCGTTTCAGGGAGCGACTTACGTTATCACGTATTTCCCTCTCCCCTACTTCCTCATATGCAGCTCTTGGGCGAATAAAAGTAGTCTCTCTCTCGCGGCTACGAGTCCTACTTTCGGGTCCATTGAGCCGCGCGCTTCAGCTGCAACTGCAACTGCAACTGCATCTTTCCCCGCGGCCCTCGCGCGACACTTCCGCGCGAACCGGGTCGACACACGGCCGGGCCGTGCGCACTTAACACGGGGAATCCGAACTAAACCGAGCTCAATCCTATCCGCGGCTCATCTATTCATGGAGCCGCCCCCTTTTCGTCCTTTCATCTCCGAGCGGACCCGCGCCGCCATCGAGGACGGCTCGATTAAAAATTCACCGACCGCCATTTTGCATCCCGCCCAATAAGGCCCTCCACGAGGAATTCCCTCAACTGTAAACTTAAACAACTCCGAGGATGGCGCGTACTTTATTTGAAAATTATCCGAAAAGGACGTGGGCCCGAAAGGGATATCCTTCTTGGCTTTAAGGCGAGGTTAAAGCTGAGAGACGCTATGAGACTTCACTCTGAACCGGGTTTCGCACTTCAGTGTGGAGGCCCTAGGGAAGGTCCCGTGGCATTTCATTTTTTATGAAAATGTTTATAACAGATGAATGGAAAAGAAGAGTTACAGGAACGACTGTGGTGTCACTATCATATCGCCTTAATGGTCATCAGGGGAATTAAGACATTTCTCTAGAAATGGAAAATTCAGTGTAATAGTTAAGAGAAATATGGAGAAGCGAGAGAATTGAAAAGAATGTGGATGTTAAATGGAAAATAATCGTACGTTTTCGTCTTCGTCGGCAGGCAACCGTCGCCCGGGTCGGCGACCACCGGGACGACGTCGACGTCGTCGTCGACAGGCCCCGAGGGCGAGGCGACGCAGGGCATGGGCACGTTCGCGGTCGGCGGCGTCAGCGTCGCGACGTCGACGGAGGGCCCCGGGACGACGCCGGCGACGAGCTCACCACCTTCCGTGCCTTCGACGAGAGTCGGCGCCCCGGGTCCCCGCCCCCCCAGGCCCGGGTCCGCTACCCCACAGAGGCCCAGGACGAGGAGGACCCTCAGTCGCACCGAGGCCCTCAAGAGGTAAGCACCCCTGCTTCTCTCTGAAACCCTTAACCTAACCTAACTTTTAGCTCTAGAGAGGAAAAATTAACGCAATACGATTAATCCGCAATTAATGTCAGAGGTCCACACAGCTCGTAATTATGGATAACGATATTATAATAAAATACAATACATTTGGGAATGTTTATCATTTGTTCGTTAATTTGTAATTTCTTCGGATTAAAAAATTGTAGCTAATTTGACTTTTGATTTTGACTAATAGTTATCTGAAGAGAGAGACCGCCACGTTCTTCGGGGTCGACGAAGACTCGGAGGCGGTGGAGCGACAGAGATGGCTGGACCGGCGGCGTCGGATGGCGTCCAGGAAGTATGGAGACCTTCTTCCGGAACACAGGCTCCCGGATCCGGACATCACCAAGGACGTGCCCGACGCTATGGAAGTCCCGGAGGTATTTACAAATGACATTTGTTCATTTTTACCGAGGGGCTTTTCACTTAGAAATCAGTGAAATGGATTTTCTTCTTTAACCCTTAGGCCACTAAAGGCGCCTCTTTAGTTTAGTCGAACGTTTGGTCCAATATTGCTAGCGCGGCTCGATGAATTTCGCCCATATGTCGAAAGAGCTCCGTATTCAGAGGGTTAAGAGCGATTTCATGTTTCGATTTTCTTTTTTAATGTTTTTTTTATTCAGGGGTGACTCTTCAAAATTTTGTTTCGATTTTTTTTTTAATATCCTTTCTTTCGTTCAGGGGGTGACTCTTCGGAGGTGGCAACAGCCGGTGAGAAGGAAAGAATCCGTGGCCAGGATGACACTCTCGGGGCTCCATTACATGGTCGAGGTGAGTGACTTTTTTATTTCCCGAGTATCAGTTAAAAGGGAAGGGAAAACTTCATGAAACACCATCTCCAATAATTGCATTACATTCATATATTGTCTACACGGTAGTACCTCCCTCTTCTCAGATAATCGGTAATTGATATTATGTCTACATTACAAGGGATTATTATTCATATTTATTTTTATAAAGGGGTCGCGACTTGTATATTTTAATTTTGTAGTTCTAGTCGGGGGTGGAGGGAAAACTTTGAAGGGGTTGATATCTCGTGGCGAAACCGAAGAGGTTTCGGTCCCAGGGGGTCAAATTCGATTTTAAAGTTGGACGCGACCCCCCTTCCATGAGGGGTGAAAATGTGTCGGAGGGGTGAGGGGGAGTAATGTTACGAATAATGAACATTGCGGGACCACGAGGTGGACGCGACCCTTGCTGTGCTGGGAGTCACCCCAGGGGCTAAGTGGTAAGTTTTGAAATATGGCCGCCACCCACCACCCACCACCCACCCTCCACCCACCGACCACAACGCGTTCGAAGCCGTGCTGTGCATTATGCGTACATACATATATGCAAGATGAGACAAACTTAAATTCAAGAAATATTGTATAGGAGTTAAAAATCAGGGATCACTCTCGGTGATTAAAAAATTGGATAAAACCATCTCCGGAAGTATCTTACGGCCACACTTCGGTGGGAGGTTTTTTGGGGAGAAAAGGGGGGTTGGTCGGAAAAATGGAGGTTCTCCCGAGCGCGACCCTTCGCGTCGGATATTTTCATCAAAGTAACGACGATGTTAGTTAATAACCGGGTTTATTAGGCTGCGCCGTTAAGCGAAACGCGGCTCGTTATTCTTATTACTTTTACGTCCGCCCGGGTGGGAATAAATTTTAATAAAAAGCCCGGCCGCGCGCTCCTCTCGGTGCTTAGTCAGTCAGTTAGTTAGCTTGGGTACAATTAAGTCTGCGCATGTAGATTATTTAAACTCGCGTACTACACCCTGGGTTAGTCCTGGGGAAAAAAAAGATTAAAGAAAGGGGGGGATATAAATTGGAAAAAAAGTTCAGATTATTTTCCGGCAAGAGGGATTAATCGAAACCTTTCACCTCTCCTGGTAGAAAGTCTGCAGAGTGCTGACTAGGACGTTCATTGTTGATAACATTAGTACAATTCATGGATTTTTAGTAAGCGCAGGTGTAGGTTATTTAAACTCAAATAGTAAGCCGTAGGTTAGTCCTGGGAAATTGATTAAGGGGTGGAGGGGAATGATGACAGAGGGGGGAAAGGGGGCTCGGTACGTAGAGTTTCAGTTTGCATCTCTCGGAGCATTAGGACTGGATTTGAGATTCCTGATTCTAATTAGTACGTCGGCCTGACGTGTAACGGCCTTAACGAAACGTCTCTACATAGGTACTCACTTCTACTTACCCACCCACCACCCCCTCATCCACCCGCACACACATCCACGCATGTCCACTCGCATATACACACGGCCTTAGCGAAACATCTCTATGTGGGTACTCACTACTACTTATACACCCACCTACTTGCACACACGTCTAAACCTTGCACATACACACATAGTTTGACGAAACCTCTTCGTGTTGGTCTTTGATACCACCCACCCACACCTTTGAACTTTACGTACACACGTGTACACACACAAAATACGCACAAAGAAATGGAGGATCGCGTGCGTAGCTGCACTTAACAGGAATTGCAGCAATTTCGGCACGCGAACGCGCCGGTCACGTGCAGCTGCAGCTGCACCCGGGGAACCCCGGGAATACCGGCAATGAAATGTACGCAACCGAGAGTTATTAGGAACATTACATCACACGCACCGGCCCTGACGTGCCGAAGCCCCTGTGCTAATTGCGCCCCTGCAATTGCTGCGCCCCGGGCGCACCCCGGATGCACCCCCGATGCACCGGAAAGTGGGCCGCCGGTTGCATCCTACTCCCCGGGAAATGGCTAATCGATCGCTCTGCGATTTTTTCGAAGGAGCCCCTCGCCTAGAAAATGGTCTTGGTGGTGAGCGAAATGTGGTCCAGGTCTTCATCTTTGGGGCAAATCGATCTGGGGTTGGTTTGACTTTTCTCGTGACGAGATTGACCAGCGAAAACAGGGGGGCGACTTCTTATCACGAATTGAAGCTGCGTTATCTTGACTTAAACCTGGTTTTCGTAAAAAATGGCCGCAGTAAAAATTGTCGAGCACATCAAGGACTACCACTTTTCCCTGGGGGACTTTCCCCTAGGACTTACCCTGCGGCCGGAAAAGGGCGGAAACTAGGGGCGACCCACCCGGGCGCTCCTGGCACTGGGACAAGTGGCGCCCTCGAGCAGCCGGCACTCGGCGCGCATTATACCAATATCGCGGATTAATTGTTTTACTGGGCCGTAAAACCGGCACCGCCAGCTGGATCTTAGATTACTCGGGCCGCGTCGTATAAATTCACCCCGTTTTCCCCGTTAACCCTCTCCCCGGTGGGGCAAAGAGCAGTTAATAGTTGGACCTAACCTCACTCTCTCGCTGCCGCGTTTCCCTCCGCGAGGCGTAACGACGCCCTTAAGGCAGCCTTCGGAAACTGCCGTTTTATTTTCGGAAACGCTCCCGAGCAGTTTCCGATTTCGTCTTTTCCCTGCCTGATGGCGGGGTGGGATTTTTTCAGCCGACGGAATCGCACAGTCGAGGGGAGAACTCCATCGGCCCGGTTTCCGGAAATTAACACTCCCCGGGAATTTACATCGGCGCGTTATCGAGGCGGAAGCGGGGCCGCCGTTAAAAAGCGGGTTTTTGCACCCCCGTTATTGCCCCCCTGGCCGTAATTAAGCCGCTAGTATTTTTCAAGAACTCACCCTCGCCGAGGGAGAAGTGCATTCCCTCTTTCTCTGCTAGATTGGTCGCCATATTGCGCGGCGTAACCATTTCCTGCAAGAAAGAACGAGCCCCTCTCTCGTTCGGTCCTCCTGTTCTCATAATCCGAAGCTTCATCTTCGAAAGACAAAGAGCAAGAAAAAAACAGCCCCTCTCTCTCCATTGCCATAGTCGGATAAAATTTGCCTCACCGGAAAGTGGGGAAAGAAAGGTCCAAAATGGCGGCGAAGCCATCGACTCGAAATCCCGTAAATCCGGCGGTTCCTTTCCTTCCAGCGTCCCTCTTCTTCTTGAAATGTACTCCAGAAAGTACCTAAGTGTACATGTATGCAAACCGTCGACGGATCTCCCTCTTCACCCCCTCGTTATTTATGCCCCCCGTTCTGCACGAACCATGGCGTCCGTATGGGTGGCTCTCGACGGAGTTACCGCCTGTCATACATAATTGAAAACCGGCACGCACCCCTCTCGACACACTCTATAAATCCGAGTACCGAGTTAACTTCGCTTATTAACCACTGCCGGCCTCGAATCGGCCTCGAATTAAACGTCATAAAAATTGTTACGTTTCACCCCGAATTAATCGATTTATCTTTCGCAGACCCTGACGAGGCAGCGTCCCGTGGACCGGTCCCAGGGGTTGACGGAGTCCCGGAGTTTCCCACCGAGTGTCCTGTCTTCTGTTCAACACACGGCAGTTTCCTCCCCTGACGCAGGATCCGAAGAGGAGCCGACATTTTTTGAAAGGCCACCTCCACCTCCACCACCCCCGCCGCCTCCACCACCTCCACCACTCCCAGCATCTTCCCAAAACTCCTCCCAAGCGGACCAATCTTCGGGGGGGCCTCGGAAGGACGAAGAGAAGGTCTCCGCTTCCCCCTGCGAGAACCTGGAAGGAGCTGCTCCTGTCGATGTGCCCGAGGACCACGTCAGGTGAGGAAGGACCTTCTGAAATTGAACTTTCTTAGGCCTTTCTTAGCTTGGACCTTTCTTAAGGCTCTCACGTTTATGTGGTGAGCTTTCGAACGACTCTGTACACCGAATTTGCAGGGAAATGTTATTAACGTCACTTTCACAGTTCATGAAAATAGACTCGAGGAATGAAAAGGAATTTCATGTTCAAGGTTCACGGCGATCAAGGACGATCGGTTGACGATTGATGGATCCACCAGGAGGCCTCGGGCGACCACCAGGGACCACTACACCTCGAGGTACTTGAAGTCACTTTGGAGGGTCCTTTGAATGCGCGACTGTCCCCGGAAGGACTCGTTTCTACACCTGGAGTTAGGACAAGTGGTCAATTATTTGAAGAGGTTGATTTAATTAAGGAGAAGTGCGAAAATAGTCACCTTTTATTCCAGGAATTCTTGTGACAAAAAGATCCTTACTCCTTGTTACCGATAAAAATAGTCTTGGGGTCGATTGGAGGAATCGGATGGAAATTTTAAGCAGTATTTGATTTTCTTCAGCCTAGATTAAGTGCCAAGCTTTCATTATTCGTTATCGGTAAATTTTGTTTAATGCTGACTGAATTTAATTCAGTTAATTAGATGGTGCGATGTTTAAATAAAAATTAAAAAAGAAAAGATGTAAAGGGCCATCGGTCGCGCTTCTAGTTAGAAGGAAAGGGTTGACAACAACCGGGTTACAGAAGGACTAGTTGGCGTAGGTCAAGGGAGCCGAGGGTCCGAGAGGAGCAGATCGTCACCCCCAGGGGCTCCGAAAGCGTCGCCCTCAGGAGGGAGGTCCTGGGAGGCACCAGGATCTCTCCCAGCACCATCGACAGGGTCTTCGACAACAGCAACAGGAGGCGTTATGGCATGGGCATCGTCGGTCGCTTCTTCGGGTAATGATATTACTAAAATAATCATTTTTACTCCGATTAACCCTTTCGTTATTGTTAGCGTCTAAAGGAGTTTAACATTTTTTTTTAATATATGCTATTGACGCCTGTAGACGTCTTCAGATTTTTTTTAATCTGTACTATTGACACCCGTAGATGTCTTCAATCTTGTTTTTGTAGATATAGTATTTGTAAATAAAAAAAGGGATATACGCGAGATTAATAGTCGGAACTTTGTGTCCCGCGTTACGAACGATTCAACCGCGATGCCGGGTCGTAAAATACAGGACAAAGAAATGTCACAGGATCCAGGAGCGCCTTTAAAAGTCGAGGAAATGCGCCTCGACATTTAAAGTAAGGCCGGGCAAAATGTCTCCCTCTATCGAGACTCGGGAAAAGAATGTCGGATTAAAGAGGAAGTTTAGGGTGGCAATTGATTATCATTAATTAATGGAGTTTCCCGTGGTTCAAGGAGGTCCTTCCGGAAGAACGTCTCGCACAAGCCGGACTTGAAGAAGCAGCTCGACGACGTCGAGGACCACAGGCCTTACTTCACCTACTGGATCACAACCGTGCAAATCCTGGTTCTAATAATTTCCCTAGCCTGCTATGGATTTGGCCCGATCGGGATCGACCAGAATCAGAGATCTGGACTGGTAAGTAAATCTGGGGAAAAATTTTTCCGCGTACCTCTCTGTTTTGCATCCATTATGTCTGTAGTACTTTCTAAGCTATCCGATACACAATTGGATACTAAAGAAACTTCATTTCTTTTGCACGAAGTTCTAGGATCTCTCGGGAGACTCAAGAGTTGATTTCTGTCCTTTGGCAGGTCCTCGTGACGAGTCTGTCCTTGCAACAGGTGGACTACCAGGAGCCGGCCAATTTTTGGATCGGCCCTAGAGCGGCGGATTTAATTCACCTGGGGGCAAAATTTGCTCCCTGTATGAGGAGGGACATCAAGATCCTGAAGGAGATCGACATCTGGAGGGAACGAGAAAGGGATACAGCCTGCTGCATCAGGAACGACGATTCTGGATGCGTTCAGTCCAGCAAAGCCGACTGTTCAGTGAGTTTCGCATGTCCTCTTCATTAAATTAATGAACAAAGAATCATCTGCCGAAATATGGAATTATGTCAATTAAAAAAAAAAATGGGACCACCTAGCCCGATATTCCATAATTAAAAGGAACAAAAGAAATAGAGAGAAAATATTTCCCAAGGTATAACGATATTTAAAATAGGAAAGGAGGTAATTATTTAGTCAAGCGATGTCTCGTCAAATGAAAATTCGACACTTCGAGTTCCTCGCAGGAATGTATTTGGCTCGAAACTCTACCCTGAGAAAAAATAGAAATGCATCGAACCAAAGAAATATTTGGTTAATTGAATGTTTAGGGAATTATCGATAATTCCGGAAAGTGCGTCTAGTATGAATTTGCTTCTCTTTTCAACCCAACTGATCCGGGGACTGAGATCGACCCTCACGGTAACGTTACATCGATTATCTCGATTAGCAATTAGGCCTGCTAGTCCTAATTTGCATCTCGTTTAGTGTATTGCTTTTCTTTCGAGCTCGCATGCAGATGACTAGGACGTTCCTAGGGAACGTCGCTCGTGTCTCCAGGACATTTAGCATGTCGTACACCGATGGAATTGGCTTGTAGAACACGATATCGACCTGGAAGAAGTGGGGACCAGGAGACAGTGGACCCGGAGGCAGAATAAGCGGTTCCGTTTGCGGCCTGGACCCGAAATTTTGCGACGCTCCTGCAAGCATCGCCCCTTACGAGTGGCCGGACGACATCACAAAATGGCCAATTTGTCGGAAAACCAATCCCTTCAGCCAAAGATTTAGGTATCCATAATTGAACGTAACAAGGCTAAGAAAAAATCCAGCGAAAAGAAACGCGGAAAAAAAGAAAGCTATTCGGTTCAATCCGATAGAACCTTCGTTGGTTCGACCTAAACGATCGGCGATCGAACGTTTCGCTCAATGAAAGAAATTTCCTTTTGGATATTTTTTCTCCCTGCACGTGGAGGATAATTTTCTGCCTCCGTGTTAACAGCAGCAAAGGCGGAAATCAAGGCCAGCAGGGAATTGGAAATGGAAACTTCCCCGTTGGTCGCTACAAGGACAAGATGGCGGAGCACATGGTCTGCGAGGTCATAGGCCATCCCTGTTGCATCGGCATCCACGGGATGTGCAGGATCACCACGAAGGAGTATTGTGACTTTGTCCACGGGTATTTCCACGAGGAAGCTTCTCTCTGCTCCCAGGTGGAGTGTCTTCACGACGTTTGCGGGATGATTCCTTTCTTGCATCCCGAATGGCCGGATCAGTTCTACAGGCTTTTCACCACGACGTTCCTTCACGCGGGGTAAGATTAATTATTATTACCAAGTAATCCATGTCATTCAAGATTACCAGAATGGTTTATGCATCCGTGTGTCTTGACTGTCTAGGAAATGCCTTGCATTTGGCGGCTTTGAAGTACGAAACGGATTTTTTTTTCCCCTCCTTTCCATGCCACGTGTTAAATAAACGCCCCTTCCAATGTATGCGCTTTTTTAACACAGAGTTTTCTTCCCTTATTTCAGAATTTTCCACCTGGCGATCACTTTGGTGGTCCAGTATTTCCTGATGAGGGACCTGGAGAAGCTTACGGGATCCCTGAGGATCGCGTTGATTTATTTCATCGGAGCTTTAGCTGGGAATCTGGCCAGTGCGATTTTCATCCCATACAGAGCAGAGGTAAGGAGGAATAAAAATGTGTATTATTTATTCTCAGCGGTATTAATTGCTAAGACGTTAGAAAATGTTAAAACGAGACGTCGTTCCAGGTGGGACCAGCAGGGGCTCATTTCGCGCTGTTGGCTACCCTGGTGGTGGAGGTGCTGCATTGCTGGCCGATGTTGAAGCACCCTCGAAGAGCTTTGTCGAAGCTGCTGGGGATCCTGGGAGCCCTTCTAGTCCTTGGAGTGCTTCCCTGGGTGGACAACTACGCACACCTCTTTGGGTTCGTCTTCGGGTTCCTCGCGGCGTACGCCTTGATGCCCTTCGTCTCCTTCGGGCACTACGACCGGCGCAGGAAGATCCTTTTAATCTGGGTCTGCCTGGTCCTGATCCTTGGCCTCTTTGCCTTGCTTCTGGCTCTCTTCTACAACGTACCGGTCTACGAGTGCGAGCTATGCAAGCTCTTCAACTGCATCCCCTTCACCAGGGACTTCTGCGCCTCGCAGAACATCACCTTCATGAGAGAAGAGCCGGTATGACACACGGGGCCGCGGTTCCCAGGCGAGCGCCGAGTACCGCTCGGCCCGTGCATCAATTCCGCTCGTTATCACCACTTCGGACACTCGCCAGGACTGGATGTCCTGATCCTGATGATACTCGCCTTCCCCGAGGATGAGAAGGACGACGTAGATGGAGAGTCGGCCCCGGGTTGCGCCCGGAGGCCTTCAAAGCCTGATTCCTGAAAGAGAGGTTGGTGGCTGTTGAAGAGATTAACAAATACTCAGGATGGTTTTGGGTAGACCTGGGTACTCAGGATGGTTTTGGGTAGACCTGGATACCCAGGATGGTTTTGGGTAGACCTGGATTGGGTGGACCTGGAGAGTGAGATACAGGAAAGTCCTGGAAAATAGCCCTGATAAGTCGGAAGAAACAAAGAAAGGAGCCGAAGAATTCGACGAGGAACAGGAAGTCGTACCTTGACTCCAGGTAAAGAGACCTTGAAGAGCGTCTCTTCGGGAGTCTGACTCCAGGGAGGAGAAACGTCCCCGGATCTTCGGGGTGCCTCCTAAAACTGCCAGAAACGAGTAAATCGAGGTGAAGCGTGACTGCCATAAGTAAATTAAACGAAGTGACAAAGAAAAAGAGAAGGGAAGAGAGAGAGAGAAAGAAAGATCGACCTCGTCGGGGCCGAGCTTTGACGAATAATGCCTTAAAGCTTAAATCTATTACCGGTCGCCCAAAGCTCGGGGTCGCGACGAAAGGACCGCTGTAAATATTTCTATACATTAAACAAATATATATATATATATATAAATATAAATACTAATACATAAGATGACGAACCGACGAGAAAGAGAGAGAGGAAAGGAACGCGGGGAAACGGACCGTCGACCTCCCACCCTGAAGAGGACCCTCTTCAGCTTCTTCCTCTTCTTCATTTATCTCAAATCTGTACACGAGACGTGTTAACAAAATATATATCGTGTATATATCTGAGGGACTACACGAGAAGAGGACCTGTACATATATATAGACAGCGATATATATGTGTATATATATATGCACGTAATTGCGGATACTTCTTCTTCTTCTTCTTCGTTTACACAGTAGGGATGAGAGATCGCGATGAGGGGGAAGTGGGGAGCTTCCTTTCGGAATTCCGGAATTCCGGAATTTCCGAAGCGAAGACGGACACTCGAGGAGGACCTGTACATAAATCAGAAACGATTCGACGTCGGAAGTGACCCTGAAGAGCACTTCGAGGTGTCTTCTTGCCGGAAGTGGACCCTCTGGGGGTGCGAAACGGTCGTTTTTTTAGGCTCGGGACTGCAGGTGCGATCGGGGTATATCACGGACTCTTTAATGAATTCACCTTGATTTAAGGCGCGTAATTTGTAAATACGTCCGTATTAACAGCAGCTATAACTCCGGTAGTTTAAAACCCGGCGTGAAGCAGCCTGTGTAAACGTACTTAAGGAGAAGTCGGGGCAAAAGTTTCCCGCCGTGCCCCGTATACATATTAATTAATAAACAAGCGGCGAGACAACGGAATTCGGGAAGCGAGACTATACATACATATACATAAATATATATAAATAAAAGGGTATATATATACATATATATATATATATACACACACAAGATACATTCGAAACCTTTGTGATAATACAACTACATCTACTGCGAGGTTGCTCGGGTTTGCGAATGCGAGGAAAACTTAACGATTAATTAACGATAGAAGGGAAATGAGGGATACGGAGGGAAGAGGGAAAAGTATTAAGAGGAAGAGGAGAGACAAACATACGAGGGAAACTGTTATTACTGTAAATCTGTCACATAAATAGCGCGCGAGAGGCGAGGAAAGGAATAACTCGGCGAAGAAAATGGGGATGAAGGGGAGACAAAATGAAATAAAGCGGGAGAGAAGAACCTTCGGAATATATTCGCGTTCGCCGTTTAAGGCGAGGCGGGATGTCTTTCTGTATGGGGAATTTTTGGGGGTTTTTCCTTAGGGAGCTCCGGGGACTTCTGGGGATTTTTCGGGACTTTCGAGCCGGAGTTTTCGAGCGATGTACATTATTCTCGAGGCCGATGTACATAGGTGGAAGCTCGCCTGGCGGTTTTAGGACTTTTTCATTCCCGTTTTGTTTGCTCTTTTATTATTTCTTCTTTTTCCATTACACTTCCCGTTTCTTTTTTCAACGGCGAGAGCGATTCGGGGCTTGCCGAGTTCCCGAGAAGTCCGAATTCGAGTTTTCGTTTCGAGCCGGACCTTTAACCCTTTGGCTACTAAGAGCGCCTAAAGGCGCCCGACGTTTGGTCCAATATTGCCTGCCCGGTCAGACGAATTTCGCCCTTACGTCGAATAGCTCCGTGTTCAGAGGGTTAAGGCCGGCTTGGAGCTCTCGTGTGATACCTCTGTACATAATCGCGTGTTTCGGAAATATGGACCAAGGATCGTTGATAAGGAGTAGGTAATTCCGTGTGCGTGGGTGTGTGGGTCGTAGAGCGATAGACAATTGCGCAAGGAAGTGCGTGTGAGAGAGAGAGAGAAATAATTAACGAAGCGACATTCCTATTACCTCATCGGAAGGGGAGAGGACATCGAGCTAGGAATCCCCGAAATGAGAAATTCTCTCCCGGATTGACTTCCTTTCTTTTTCTTCATTAATCGGTCCTTTTCTGGGGAATTTTCCCAAAGACATTCCGCCCCGCCCGCGCGGTATTATTTTTCTGTAACCCTGTATCAAATACGAGTTGTAACGTTAATTAATAAATGATAACTGAGAGGGTGGGGGTATAAATAACAACCGTTCCCGTTCTCTCGATGGGTCGGCGAGAGAACTTCCGCATTATTATTAATTATTAATACGAAATCCTAACGGTAAATTATTATGTACTTGTCGCTGTTATTATATACATATGCATATATATATATATATACATAAATATATATAAATATATCATACGTATGATATACAATTAATTTAATAACAATAAAGAAAGCGCTGAAATGACGATGCCAAAGCCAGGTTCGATCCGTTTGTTCGAAAGGTGAGGATTTTCTCATTCCCGTTGATTTTATTTTCCTAAAAGTGACTCTACAAGTGACGACGAATCGTAATAATTTATAATCCATTTTTAAGTACCGTCCACAGGTAAATTAACTCTCGGTGACATTTTCAAATAGTAACCTTTTGATATTAATCGATTATTTATTCCTTAAGGTACAGTCTATATAAATTTTTATAAATGTACAATTTATAAAAAACATTACGTTAAAGGGTAAAATTAAAGACTTAAAAATAATCCATGTACATGTAACTTCAAAGTCAAATAACATTATTGGGAATTAGGTCTGAAAAAAAATTGTTTCTTATCGCAACGATTTATCGTCGCTTGTGGTCCCCTTTATGGATTTTACTTTGAAAGACTTGTCGGGGGGGGGGAGAGGGTGATTCTTCGTGACCTTTTTAAAATGGGGTCTCTCCTTTCGTCCTGACTAGAACACAGGGAAACCCCGAGAAAAAAAAAATATGGACATTCGATAAGGATTCCCAAAATTAAATGGCACTCAAAATTGAAGGTCACTCGTAATAAATCCCGACAACGACCCCCACGGCGTAGATGAAGTTGTTCTCGAAGACGTAGCTGGAATATGTGTCTCGTTGGGTGTCCCAAAGCCGTCCCAAGCCGATGTTTAAACTTTGTCCGGTTTTTTCAATTATCGAGATGGTCACGACGAACTTATACCTGTAAACGAAATCCTATCACGATCGGCTTCGGTATACAATCTTCATGTTTTATTTTCTTTTTAAGATCTCTGAGGCCGTTTTCCATCTCACCGGTCGTAGTTCTTCTTGTATACGCGTTCGCGAACCTCTGATGAGATTTCTCGACAGTACTTAAGACATTTTGCTGGGTGGTATCTCGTGTTTATTAAAGCGGTGTCCATTGTCTCTTTTAAAATGCCGTCGACCACTTCCCCGTTGAAACGGTGGTGTCCTTCCAGGCGATATGTGTTCTGGTAGAGGGGGACCTTGAAACGGAAATTTTTATTCATTTAGATATGCCATTATTTAGACAATGTATCTGGAAGTGAAAAGTTCTACCGACCTTAAAACCGTCTTTGACATTTCGGTAGTAGGTGCTACCACGATGTAGCTCCAGGGAAGAAACACTTCCTGTACCCAATTTTTGAGGAGTCTTCTCTATGGGCTTTCGATGGGCAGATGATTGTTTATCAGGAGCTGCGAAGAGAAAGTTTGATCATCGGATTCAGGTTAATTGCAATTAGACACAGGAGGTAACTTACAGAATGACATTGCAGCGACTTCGATGGCTCAAAAATGATATCAAAATGTTTAAAAATCTTCTAAGGGGGCTGCTTTGATGTACTATCTCAAAAAATTAATGGGCTCATGTTACCGAGAACGGATTTTCGGTACGAGTCCTTTTTAATTATGGAAGTATATAAATCTGAAAGACCTGAAAACTCGCGAAGACCGCCGACAATTGCAACTAAACTCTCGTTATTCAAATTTTATTTTCCTGGCAACATACGGGAGAACAGAGAAATTCGGGAAGGAATAAGCTAAACGGGATCGTTGTTATATGTACAAGTCTTTAATCGTTAAATAAAGTTATCGAAGTGTCTTGCGTAGTATCACAATTGCATGGGACTAAATTATATTTGTCGGTTGGTTTGGATTGGTGGTGGGTGGACTACGGGCCATCATGGAAGCGACCTGAAAATAAATAGGAACGGCTGAACATGTGATTTCTAAATTAAGTGCAATTAAACTCACGTTCTGTATAACTTGTCTTCTGAAAAAGTCCCCAGTAGCGGACGTAATGTTCTTGTCATTGCCCATTTTACACTTGACGTATCCATAAAGATTAGCTCCGTTCAAAGTGATGGCGATGCAAACTAAGAGCAGCCATTTGAATTTCAGTCCGAAGAGTGCAACGAAGAAGAATACCGACCAAAGCAGAGGACAAAGTATCAGGGCCAGCCAGAATATTCGAGCTTCCGAAGGGTGTATCCTGTTCTGTTGAATGCCCTGAAACAGAGGGCAAGTAACAGCCACAATTTAACAAAAAGATCGAAGCGACCTCGTCCCTTCGTGTCAATCTATTTACAGAGCTTACTAAAATCCTCATTAGCGTTAGATTTTAGTTATAAAATTTTAGCAAGGTCTCTCCAAAAGAACCAACCGAACCTTTTTTGACTCAAAGACCCAATGGCTCTTTCCCTCGTCATCCACGTAATTCCACCACCTGAGGCCAACCATCAGTCTTCCGGTAATATTCTTTACTGTCCAGAAGTCCATCGATAGCAAGAGAACGACAGCTACGAAGCTAGCGATGAAGCTCTTGGCGAACCACCCGCAAAACATGTAAGTAACTATCGCCGCTACTCTGAACAGCAAGTGGAATGCCGTGACAAACGGGTGCCTGAAATATCAGAATACTTCGTCACACCGCATTCAAAAAATAAACTGTACATTTCAGCGTCAACAAGAACATCGTTTCTACATACTTGAGCTTACTTCCCTCCCGTGTATCATCTTCCTCTTCGCCGAATGCAACCGTGTCATCGTCCATCAGCAACGGCACCTGCATAGGTTAGGAAACATTACATTAACATAATCGCATTGAATTTTATAACTCGCAGAGGACCCATGAAGGCACTTCGGAGGATCCTTAAAATTCTCAGCGTACTTTGTCGTTACACTCAGTCGTACAGTGTATATCCTAGTGAGTGTATTATGTCAAAACATTGAATTAACATTTCGTTACAAGACGATGTCAATCCCGAAGGAATGTGCAAGCATATCGAGGCATCTGGGACTGTGTAAAGGTGCAGGCCTAAGATATCATGAAGTTAATTTTTAAGTATTGAACTACTCAAAATTGCATCTGGGCTGTAACAAATTAGAAAAGATAATAAATTATGCCGAAACGTCACATGCACGCGCACCCTCCAGACGGCATCGAGATCGGCGCTTCTCAAAATGAATCTGCTGGCGCCGCCATAACTTAACTACGTGAAAGTAATTAGCAAAGCCTTACTGAACTGTGCAATCTCCTCGCTAAGTTAAATGGCGATGACGCCTGCACGTAATTAATGAAACGTGTCAACGGCTACGCGTGACAATTCTCGGGACACCTACCGAAGCGGACGCCATTTTTTATTTCGATAGATGGCGCGTCGGTAGCTGTCAAAATTCCGTAAAGGGCGTCTATTACGTAAAGCACTGAGTGAAAATGTGAAAAAATAATGAGGGACGGAAAATGGAAGTATAATTTCGTCTCTCTGTTGCAGAGTTTAAGCGGAGTTCAATTGCATTGGGTGCCGCACGCGGTATTTCCCATGGTATAAACTTCTTCATAACCACGATATAACCATCGTAAACACCCCGCTGATTGGTTATCTATCCTGACGCGTTGACGCGTCGCGCTGTGTGACGCTCAGTGGGACTACGATACATCGCAGATCTTACTTTACCGTGGCGAGTCTAGTAAGTAAAAGTTTTATGACAATGGTTAATATCGTTTGCTCCCACCATGGAAGTTTCCGAACTAGTATATATGTATTGATGTATGTAAATACGCACAATGTTTAGTTTGAAACCGGTTTACACAAGTTTCTCTCGGGCATAAATTATTAATGAGACCTCTAAAACTCCGTTTTTAACTATTCATTGAAAATATGTGCGTATCTCGCCAGGTCGAAGGATAATCTTTCGAAATCACTTGAAGCCCAGGAAAACAAGATGGTCCCTGGTTGCCCCCAGCTAAAACCCACTCCTTTGTTATTCCATTGCACGTTGTTCCTAAAATAACATCCCCAGTAATTTTTACGTCTCAAAATTACCTATTTCAAACCCACAGTAAATATATCCATCGCTGCGATTTTAAAAATACACGCATAACAAAATAGAGTCGTCACATGACGTTTCATTGTTTACCATCTATTATATCACTCGGCCCGTGATTGGTCGATTGTTATCTGCAGCCAGAATTGGCTAATCAGAAGGAAGGGACGCAGGATTGCTGCGAACGCGGGAAACGACAAGGCTAACGATCGGTTTGAATCGAAACCATGTTTATTAATCAAATAGAGTTAAGAATCACGATTTTCATTCCATGCCAGTCTAAATATCGATACATTCTTTCATTTGGCTGTTTAACAAGCGTCGAATGTTAAAACAAAACAACGCAATCTATAAAGACGCGATATCGCCCCAGCGCCGCCATTTTGAATCCGCGCGCGTCGTCGGGCGGCGGCCATCTTGGGTATCCATGACAACGGCGGAACGCGGAAGCGGGCGGAGTTGCCGTTCCGCGTTCCTTGGTCCTTTGTCCACTGCAGGAATATCAGCTGTTCATGGCGGCCGTGTCCAGTATGGAGTGATAGGTAGTTCGCTCGCGTTCGCGGCCCTCACGCAACTCCCCGAGCAGATTACGCGCCTTGATTACGCATAAGGGACCGTCGGGTCGTGCGACTTCGCTGTTTGATGCAAGGTTTGGCCCGTAACGTGGATGTGTTGACGCAGGGACTCAAATACGGCATATACGGACTCATGAACCTCGCAAATCAGCGCGCGGATGCCCCAAGTGATGTTTTCTTTGTTAACTTCAACCAGGATTGCACGTAAGTTGGCCCCTTGGTCGCTAACTTAACCTTTGCCCTTGCCGAGCGAGTGGACGCGTCGCTTCCCATCATTATTCTCGGGATTCTTTGAATTATTTCCGAATTATGGCGCACCCAGAGGCCCCTCAGGGGATACGCGTCGAGTTTATTCTTTCGCCTGTCAGATGACGACTCGTCGACGCGCTCGGGATTTCGCAACGAGAGTCCCCTTCTCCTTTTCTCTACATCGATTGCGCCAAGGCGTGCACTTGACTGTTCGGTCTATGATTCCCTGCTGCCGATTCCCCTCCTCTCTGTTGTTTTCATATTTTAGAATATTTCAAGATATTGCAGAATATTTCACAGGCCTCGTAGAAGTCATTCCATGCAGACCATCGAGGAAATCAGGAGAATCGAGAGCACTGTCGACTTACCCAGGAGGAGCTCCCCGTTATTCTTTTCCCTTTCTAATTAGAGTTTGCGAAATCCTGTAATTCTGCAACCTTGCTCCCCTTTGCTGCGACTGTATGATTAATATTAAGTGCATCTACTTGTTTTTTTTATCGTTCTGCGAGACGTGGTACTGGCGAGGTGAACTTGACCCTCGCGATTTAAGCTACATGGGTTATGAGAGAGCATTGGGCATTCGGAGCAGTCTTTGTACCTGCGTACATCATTAGTTTGTTTAATTATTCTTTTCTTCTTTGACCTGAAGGAGAACTTTTGCTTCCGTGTAAATTGTAACGTGTAAAGCTGGGGGAGTTTGATAGCTGATTTATCTGTCTGCGTCACTTGACTGTGTTGTTAATGATTTAATACCTTCCTTCTGAACCGTGTCGATGGAACAGTAAAGCATTTAATGGCTTCTGGTATTGGTTAGAGATTAATTCGTGCGCGATTAGCTTTAAAGGGGCCTAATCGCGTTTGCTTTGCTTTCAGATCCTTAGCTGTAGGATCAAAGGCTGGCTACAAGTTATTCTCCCTGCACTCCGTCGACCACTTAGAGAAAATCTATGAAAATGGTATCCAATTACAGTTATTAATTAATTTTTAATTAATTACAGCACGACCGTTCAACTCAGAGGCTTAATTCTTACTTCCGACTTTCAGATACCGACGATATTTGCATCGTCGAGCGGCTGTTCAGCAGCAGTCTCATGGCCATGGTTAATCTCTCGTCGCCCCGTAAGCTCAAAGTCTGTCATTTTAGAAAGGGCACGGAAATCTGTTATTACAGCTACTCTAATACGATTCTGGCTGTGAAGTTAAACAGAGCGGTGAGTCGGGACTCTTGAGAATGCGTTCCTTAGAGGTTAGTCTGTACTAATTTAATCTCAATTTCTAGAGACTGGTGGTTTGTCTGGAGGAATCCCTATACATTCACAATATACGTGATATGAGAGTCTTGCACACTATCCGAGACACCCCTCCAAATGTTGCCGGACTGTGCACTCTGTCTATTAACAGCGATAATTGTTATCTTGCCTATCCAGGCTCGAATACCATAGGAGAGGTGCAGATCTTCGATGCTATCAACCTCGTAAGTGAAACAATTTTGCAATTTCATTGCGAACCGATCGATTCGATTATAAAAATATCCTTTCCCCTCTTCAGCAAGCCAAGACGATGATCCCAGCTCACGATAGCCCTCTTGCTGCTCTCGCATTCAGTCCTAACGGCACCAAAGTGGCTACTGCTTCGGAGAAGGGCACCGTGATCAGAGTTTTCCATGTAAGTGGTTGCTAACCTCACTTTGAAGGAAATCTCTGTAGCGATGTTACACAATTAAAGTTCTTTTTTTGCTCTTCGTTCTCCAGGTTCACGATGGCGCAAAGCTCTTCGAGTTCCGGCGTGGCGTCAAGAGATGCGTTTCCATAAGTAGTTTGGCTTTCAGCATGGATTCCATGTTCCTTTGTTGTTCGAGCAACACCGAGACAGTGCACATCTTCAAGCTGGAAGAGTCCAAAGAGGCGTATGTATAGATATTTGAGGAATAATATGAAGAATAAGAGTATCCTAACCTCTCTTCATATTTTCAAAGACCTCGTCAGGCTCCGGAGGAAGCCCAAAGTTGGATGGGATACTTGACGAAGGCTGTCTCAGCCTCGGCAAATTACTTGCCATCCCAGGTGACCGATGTCTTCAATCAGGGCCGTGCCTTTGCAAGCGTGCACCTGCCTTTCCAAGGTGTGAAGAACGTCTGCGCCATCGCCCCGTAAGTTTAATCCTTATCAGTCGGCGAGGAAGAAGTTAAAACGAGTGAATGACGTCGGGATTTATTCCACTCAGGATTCAGAAAGTGTTGAGGCTGCTGGTGGCCAGTGCGGAGGGCTACTTATATATTTATGACTTGGATACAAACGAAGGAGGGGACTGTACTCTTCTCAAGCAACATAGGTACGTATTGGAATGCTATAAGTTACACGCGTAACGATAAATAAATAAATAATCAATAATGAATACTGATTTATCGTATGACAAAGGTATGAGAAATTCTAATTTATATTCCCCGATGTGCAGACTGGATGGCAAACAGGACGAGGTCGATTGTGCGACTGCATCAACTGCAACGGCGACAGCACCAGCTCCGAGCGAGAACCCGGCCTCGGCTACCGTGTTCACGCAAATAGTACAAAATACAGGTATTCTATTGTACAGACGTTACGCGAGTTACTTCCCTTGAAGGCAACTTGGGTGTGTAGTTTGGGCTCGTATCGCCGGACGGAAAAGAGAGATTTAAAAAGGCCTAAGAAGGTACAGTCTCGCGAGTTCTCATCGGCGTTACTGACGGGGCGATTTCGTCGAGCCGCGAGAGACGCCTCCTCAGTGTGACGATGATGATCTGACTGGAGCGATTCGCGTTTATTAAATCAATTCCACCGGAATCCTCGTTATCACGATTCCACTGTGTCAAAAATCTCTCGATACAAACCCTGTCATTTCCATGCACTCTTTTTTTAATCATTAAGGCGATTTGAAAGCGGCGTCTCGATTATATACACTTTTCTCAGGATGGAGCATACCTAATCGTCGCAAAGTTCGAAAGCGATATCTCAGATGCCACTTTCACATCCCCTTAAGGTTCGTACTCGTACCTCACTTTTGGCGTTAAAACGGGTATTCTGATCATTCCAAGCTACGGATAATATCATTTAACGCCAGGAGAGTGAATGTGTCGAGGATACTTTTAACAGGGTGTAATAAAATTCCTGACAGTCGCTCCCGTCAAGATCCGCCACGTATAGTAAAGTAGTCCCTCCTCTGCTTGTGACACGCTAACGGTAGGGTAGACCGGAAATTAGTAGCTCTTCCGACTTCCGTTTGACGACTTCTAAGGGAACGATTCGATTAAGGGGAGTTGCTTCTTTTTTTTTTTTTTCTTTGTCTTCCTTCTCTCCAGGTCGTTAGCTGAACCGCTTAGCTGACGTATTGGTGTTTCTCTCTCCGATGCATGGCGCCACATATCGCAGCATGTGCCGACGACGACCGTAGCGACGGTACCGGTGTACTTAACGTCGACGACGTTAACTTACTTAATGTCAAGGACATCGACGTACTCCACGTCAGCCTACGTCGATGTACTTAACGCCGAGGACGTTAATTACATCGACGTCGTTCGTCCGCCGGTTTTAGACTTAACTTCTACGCCCCGTTCGAACTGATTTCCTTAGAGTCGCGCCCACGGTATATCCCATTCCCGCTTTTAACCCCTTAAGAGACTGCTAATCTCACTGGGGATAAGGGGCCCTTTTACAGTTGACCTTACTTGATTGTATTCTTTTTCTTTTTATCATCTGCCGAAGCCTGCATAAATAGCTACGCGGGGGCGTTGCGCGGCCGCTCGCCAGACTCCATGTCAGGTACTGGTATGTCAATATGCCCCTTTTTCTCGCTGTCATTCGCTTTCTCACTTTCTCCATTCATCGCGGATCCTCTCGGCGAGAGCGTTCTCCTGCGTCTCCGCCTTGGGGGGTTTTCCCGAGAAATCTCGCGATGCTTCATCCCGCGGAATATTCCGGAGAAGTACGTAACGAGATTTCCCGGTGTTGTTTTTTTTATTATTATTTTTTCCTTTTGGGAAACGCGCCTCGATTACGTCCGCTCTCATTCATTTGGCTCGCCGCCTCGTCGCGCGTCCTTCCGGGATTGGATTGATCCCGAAGGAAGGAAGTTCGATCCCAGGACACGCGACGAGCGGAAAGGATACGTCCTCGTCCACACACCCACGCTCACCGTTCATGCTCTTGGCGCGTCCGCGCGCCCTCATGTGCTCCCAAACTTGAACCCCGGGCTAAGGGTGGCTAAGCACGTAACGACGAATCGTTGCGTACACGTTTAACTGGTTTACAAGCGGTTTAAACCCGATAGACTCTTAAGATGCCACTTTCATATCGCCTTAACCTCATAGCTCGAAGATCGCCGATTAGTCGTTACACGCGTAGCCACCTTTAAGTCCGGGCCCACGAGTCGCGTTAACCGAGGTTTAAGCCTGCCGTGAACCCCTTAAACTCCGGTTACCTCGAGTCGGGGAACCGGGCCATAGTCCTACTGGCTGGGCGCAGACTAAGAGAGGCCGACCCGGAAAAACAAAGAGAGATTGAATTGTAGAGTCGGAAAAGTATCACGAGATGATGGCGGCGACGGAGAGCCCGCCCAAGGACGGCTTCCGGCTGGACGACGACGCCGAATTCCCGCCCGTCACCCAGAGGACGGACTGAGGACCCAGGGGAGTGACGCATCGACCGATCGACCGACCACCCGTACCCCGAGACCCGGAGGATCGCCGTCGAGGGACCGAGGCGTGATGTCGCGTTCACGTGATCCAGTCACGTGACGGCCCCTGAAATATACAGGCTCAGTTTACACCGACCACTTGGTACCCCTAAAGGCGACCCACGATCGTTTACCCTGAGTGTTCGATTAATCCACGCCTTTAGTCCGTATATCAAGTAATCGGCGTAAAGGGTATATATTTCAGTGCGTGGGCCCGTCTCACGTGACCCCGCGCCCACGTGACCAAACCACGTGACGTCGCTCTCACGTGACCAAACCACGTGACGTCGCTCTCACGTGACCAAACCACGTGACGTCGCTCTCACGTGACCCAACCACGTGGTCGACCTGTCAACCGCCGGAGGTGCCAAGTCAGCTGCGCTCGGCTTAACAGGTGCTAACCGGCCTCGGGCCAAGGGCGATCCGCTGTCGGCCAGGTGCCCGAAGACCGACCCCGACCTCTCCGTGGACTATGACTACGTTATATTCTAGGTTAATCGTAACGAGAAGCGGGAGGAGCGATCCCTCCCGCCCTCGACGAGACTTCTGTCGGCTTTCCACGCCGGTTTCATGTATATTTCTCTCGGCGCTCCGCGTCGGGGCCGTCCCCCTCGCTTTCTCTTCTTATCAAGCCGAGCACGCCCTCTCTTATCACCGATCTTCCGGCTGGCAAACTTAAGAATAGGGATCGCCTTCGACGCGGAACACGCCGATCTACTTGGGGACTCGAGTCGCCGAAGTCTTAAACCCGGTGCTCGCTCAGGAAATCCTAGCAATGAAATTCAGGGTTTACGTGGAAACGGGTTTTGCGGTTTAGCTCGATGCTCGGTAAGGCTGCACACCCGAAGCGCGTATTGAATTATTTGAAGAAGCAGGAACGTACTAAGTACGTTTATACGCAAGCATTGATTGTTGAGCATTAAACGCATCTTTCCGTTTCCACGGTGAATCTCTAAATAACTTGTCGAGACTTCAAGAGCGAGCGCGATGCCGAAAGCAGTGAGAAAATTATATAATAAAGAAAAAAAAAAAAAGAAAGAAGGTTTATCAGAAGGCAAAGAGTGATAAGATAAAAAGAAGAGAGGAGAGAATGACGGAACCGTATGTCGTGCATGTGTAGATCTGTGACGATATATGTATATGCTTCGGCAGTTTTATACTAACACGCCTTGTTTGGTAAATAGTCTTAATTTTATATATATAAATATATATATATATATAAAAAAAAATAAGATGAATGAATGCTAACATCAACGATGTATGTACATACACGCGCGCATACGCAAAATCGCACCTAGGCGAGTGTAGAGAGAGTGTATGTGATAAGGAGAGAAAGATTGTGAGAGAGAGAGAGAAAGAGAGCAGGGAAGCAAGCGAGTTAGTGCGGCTTTCACGTCGATGTTACTGTACATTATTATTAATTTCTTATTAATAAACGTAATCATTATGTCGAGAACGTGTCACGGAGCCGCGGCGTTAATCCAAGATAGGTCGAGCTACGAATTCTACGGATTTATTGACAATAGAAAGACATTGAAATTCCCGGTGACAAATGCGAGGACTTTTAAAACGTGGTGGTCGGTGATGCCTGGTGTTTCTCTTTCTTCTCTTTTCTCTTTTTAACCTTCGCGCAAAACCCGGGATTAAGTCTTAGATTAGGAATTTATCGGCAAGATCGTCCGCTGTGGGTTCTTCTCCTTCTCTTTGAATTTATTCCCGATTTTCTCCTCTTTTCTTTTTTTTTTCTTCTTTTTCTTCCTTTTTCCGACAGCCATTTTACCGAGGCAAAGAGAGGGAGAGAGACAGACCAGACGATTGGGAAATTGTACCGCGTTCGATTTGAAAGACGATAATCCATGCGGTGAGAAAGAAAACAAAAAGAAAAATATGGAGAACCGTCCGGTTCTACCGGAGATGGGCGCAGCGTTGATAACGAGACGTTTGAGAATGTTCAAAGGCTTTTTACAGACATTTGAAGTCGTTTTAATGGTTTACGATGGCGATGTGTCGTTGCGATAAATCTAGGCTAACGTGATCTGTACAGGTCGGAGGTGTTCGTATGATTAATCGACTCTCAATCGCACGGATTACAAATAGCTACGATTCGTTGTCAGCTACCACGTGGGAGCTGTTCGCGTGACGATAAATCGTCGCGATAAATCGTCGCGATAAATCGTCGCGATAAATCGTCGCGATAAATCCGCGCAGACCGATCCTGTAGATTTAAATCTGCCCATCTCCGGCCGCGAGACCGACACGGCGCGTTACTTATACAATTTGTTTATTCAGTTATCCTTCATGAACCATTAAAAACCACGGCTGTGTAAAATATACACGGTAACAGACAGGCCCTTTCTTCGCGTTTCCTCTTTCTTATTTTTTTTCTTTCTTCCTTATCTCGCTTGTTTCCTGAACGCATTGCGAAACTTAAGGGGAACGATGATAATCTAACTATAAAGGTCGTCGTCGCCGTCGTCCTGGAAGGCCGGGTCGCCCTGCGTGGGATCCTGAGCACCACCTGTCCCGCTTTGAGGGAATCTGCAATTACAGGTGAAGAGAAATTAACGATTAAGGCGAAGCTCTCGACCTTAAATGCCCGATATAAATACGTAAGTCGGTAACGTAGGTACTCGGAAGGATTTCTTTTACCGACGTCGATGAAATCCCTCTACGCGATTCACCTAAACGTTATCCAGGTATTTATGGAAGACGGAAAATAGGACCCTCACCTGAAATTGGTGCCGAATCCGCGAGATTGCTGAAGGGTCTGCGCGAACATCTCGTACTTGCGGATGTCGTTGTCGGATACGGAACGCCGGGCGAATCTCATGGCTTCCTCGAAGTGGGCCCGCGTTATCTCCGGCACGGGATCGTCCTCCTCCATCATCTGGGGGAGAAAGAGAGGAGATCAAAAGGTATCGGCCAGGATTGGGGGGTGCCACTGTTCAGGGTGAGGGTCGACTCACGTCGGCCGAGGCGCTGGGGTTGGCCTGACGTTCCCTCTCTCTGCGGATCTCGGTCTCGATGCACTGTCTGATCGCCAGCTTGCAGGCGCGCTGGCAGATCTCGGTCAGATCGGCCCCGGAAAATCCGTGGGTCACCTTGGCGATGTAGGTTAGGTCGACGTCCTGGACGGGGGAAGAGATATAGAAAAAACGTTCGACGCATGAAGTAGTACGAGACATAACTCGGCGCTAGATAGGGAAACATCCTGAAGATCTTCGACCCCCAAAGTGGGGACGATTTGAATACATGGCGTTGTATCTCATACTACTTCCTGGTTAATCCCTCCTCTCGAAACTTCTAAGCGAAGTAAACGAAACATCCTAAACGTGTTAATCGTCACCTTGGCGACCGGGGACTTCCGCAGGTTCGCCCGGAAGATCGCCTCCCTGGACTTCTCGTCCGGCAGGGGAATATAGATCAGCTGGTCGAGTCTTCCGGGTCTCAGGATGGCAGGATCGATGATGTCGGGCCTGTTCGTCGCACCGATGATGAAGACGTTCTTCTTAGCGCCCATGCCATCCATTTCGGTCAGGATCTGATTGATTACGCGATCGGCGGCACCTCCGGCGTCGCCTACGGTCCCTCCTCGCGACTTCGCGATGGAGTCGAGCTCGTCGAAGAAGAGGACGCAGGGCGCCGCTGACCTTGCCTGGAGTAGGGAAGAATTGGACAGTTAATTTAAAAATGAATAAGTTTCAAGATGTAGAAATTTCACGTGCACGTGGAGGCTTCACAAAGTGAACATGGAGGATCCCGGTCGAATTATTTGCGATATAAGGGAACGTCTGTATTAAATATGTGGAATTAAGCGGGAACCTTGTCGAAGACGTCCCTGACGTTGGCCTCCGACTCGCCGAACCACATCGTCAGGAGTTCTGGACCCTTAACGGAGATGAAGTTGGCCTGGCACTCGTTGGCGATCGCCTTCGCCAGGAGTGTCTTACCGCAACCTGGAGGCCCGTAGAAGAGGACCCCTCGTGAGGGCTGCATGCCGAACTTCAGGAACTTGTCGGGATGCTCGACCGGGTACTGAAAGCGAAACGGAAATTGACACCACGTTGCTATTTCAGTAATCGTCACGTTTACGATTACCGTTGTGAGGGGTAAGTGAGGATTTAATAAATTCAGGAGTTTAATAAAACCGGCAGGTTTTTCCGTACCTGGACCAATTCCTGGAGCTCTAGTTTGACGTTCTGGAGACCGCCGATGTCGTCCCATGTAACTGTCGGAACCTCGACAATGGTCTCTCGGAGTGCACTAGGACTGCTCTTGCTCATCGCGTACTGCAACGAAGAGAATGCGTGAATGTACCCTGTTTATATTAAATATGAATAAAGAAAAATATGAATACAGATGAGTGTTACCTTGAAATTCTCCATCGTGACCGCCAGGGAAGCAAGGACCTCCGCGTCCACTTGGTCGTCCTCCAGGTCGATGAGGTCCATTTTTTCACGGATTTGTTGCAAAGCAGCCTCCGAACAAAGAGATGCCAAATCCGCACCTACGTGGCCGTGAGTTTCTGCGGCGATCTGCGAATAAAATCGTAAATTCGGTTTCTCACATCGAGTTAGCAATTAGTACATGTACACATGCTTCCTTACACCGGTTTAAAAATCCGTGTAAGGTAGGACATGTAAATCTACCAAATGTAGATCGGTAGCCCTAGGATACTGACTTCTTCCAGCTCGACGTCATCTGCGAGTCTCATGTTCTTGGTGTGAATGCGTAGAATCTCCAAGCGTCCCGTGGCATCCGGGATGCCAATGTCGATCTCCCTGTCGAAACGGCCGAAACGTCGAAGGGCTCCGTCGATGCTGTTGGGTCGATTTGTCGCGGCCATCACGATCACGTGGGCGCTCTGCTTCATGCCATCCATAAGTGTCAGCAGTTGCGACACAATACGGCGCTCCACCTCTCCGTGTGTCTGTAAAAAATGCCAAGTGTGACAAAGAGTTCCTACTTAAAATCGCTCGTTAGAATCTCGAAGTCACCTTTTCTCGCTTAGGAGCAATGGCATCCAGCTCATCGATGAATATTATTGCCGGGGAGTTCTTTTCAGCTTCCTCGAAGGCCTTTCGCAGATTGCTCTCAGACTCTCCAGCTAGTTTACTCATGATCTCGGGGCCTATTAGGTTAGAGACGATGACAGAGTTATTATGGATAGTTTGTTCTTTTATTTTTTTCTGTCTGGGTGCTACTCACCGTTGATCAGGAAAAAGAATGCTCCAGTCTCGTTGGCCACTGCACGGGCTATCAATGTTTTTCCTGTTCCTGGTGGACCGTATAGAAGAATCCCGCGAGGTGGCTTTACGCCGATGGCTTTGAACAGAGATGGATGTCTTAATGGCAGTTCCACCATCTCTTTGATCTGGGCTAGTTGCTTGCGAACTCCTCCGATGTCGTCATAGCCTACGGCGCTTAAAGATTCTTCTTCCTCCTGCAATCCCATATTTTATGTTGCGTACATTTAAATTACAACACTACAAAATTGGTTTTTCAACAAAAAGAATGACTTAGATCACTCTTATGGTTACGGATGTATTTAGCAGCTATCAAACCTCTCGTTTTATTGGATCACCCTCGCAGTGAATCACAGTATCTGGCGCCACGATGCAAAATGGACCAGGATCTGTCTCCACGACTTTAAATTCGACGGATCGCATGCCACCTCGGACTATGAAATTATCGTTTCTGTTGACAGGGCGGTACGCTTCCAAGAAGTACGGCTTCAAATACACTTCGAACAAATTTCTGCAGACAAAATTATTAATATTATTATTATTATTAATATTATACATTATGATTAAGGAATTTTAAGTGTCTCAAGATTGCACTTACCCAGTAAGCCCGTCAACTGTATCATCAATTGGCAGTACATGAATGCGTTTTCCATATTTAACGTCAGGGCAAGCTTGCACCGAGACGACGTCGCTGAGACGTACACGTAGATTACTTCTAACTACCCGATTCATTCTAATCTTTTCATTGGAGCAGGTGTCATCAGAGAGAACAATGCAGACAGTTTCCTTGCGGCGTTTCCCTTTGAGCAGTACAGTGTCTCCTCGGAACAACTGCAGCTCGTCCATTTTGGCTTGAGATAGCGTAACCACAGAGTTATCATCGTTGGTAGCTTCGTCGACCAGCAGTCTGTTTGGCCTGTCCTTCTTGCGCAAAATCGCAGTGGCTAAATCTTCCCCACTGAGAAAAAAAAAACAAAAACCATGATTCAGCTTTCTCCGAGTGAGGTTAGGTTCTTCGTCCAAATCATTCTGCACAAAGCAGTGCCGTTTCACACATCAAGCATGACTCATAGCATCTATTTTGTCAAACCAGTAACCATTTCAACGTTACTCTCCATGCTGTAATCGATTTCCAATACAAACTGATCGTTATCACCTGGAGTTAAATCTGATAACTGCGAAAATCAGAATCTCTCCGATCTTTTTTAGAAGCGTCCGGAAGCAATTATTGCAACATGGCCACAATTGCCCAACCATAGAAACAATGCATACTCCAGGAAAAGTAACGTCAAAAACGTGGCAGTGCCCCCGAAGTGTACTAATGGACTCGTACTTTTAACATTACTCTAGAAAAACATTCAACGAGAAAGTCTTTGTTCAGCAACTGCCTCGGGATGATAGGTGACGTTGCACATAAAATATAATGCAGTAAGCCAAGCATACATTGTGGCAATTTATCCCAATTTAACGTACACTTTGTGCAGTTAATGTAAACTGCGAGGCAACGACCATGGCGACTGTAATGTCACGGTAAAACCGGTAATTAAGGGGCGGAAGGAAATTAGCCCTACGCGAAGTGGCGAGCTCGAAGCCGATCGATCTCATTCAAATGCTCCCTTATTTTCAGAGAGAAATACGGAAAAAGGTACGAATAAAATGCCGCTAGGTGCCGACATGATGACAATGTGAAATCGAAGGGTAGCTGTCGCTTCCCGCTTCCTCGGCGGGTTTTTGCGTCCCAAAAGGACAAAGGGTCGCGGAAACTCCGGTCGGTCGAAGGATCTTTCTATTCGCTCGAGATTTTTTCATATTTACCTCATGGGATCGCTCATCGTTCAGTTAGTTTCTTCTAGAGATACACGCAACGATCGCAGGCCTTCCCAAGTGGTCGCAGAGTCACCGCGAGCACGGACAAGCACGGACTATCTGATGGGGACGCGGCGTGACTGCGCGTTTGATGCTTACGCCGCGACCGTGGCGACACCCATGACGGCGACGGACACTAAAACCAAGATGGCGGATGGTTTGAATCGGGATGTCGGGGTATCGACCCCGCGAACTCGGGGATATGTTAGGATATAATGAACATATTAGGATATATCGAATGTACCAGAATATACTGGATACGTTGCGAATTTTTACATTTAACGATAGTAAGATCCGTAACTTGATGATGCACAATTTTATAGGAAAAAAGGGTGAAAGGTACCATTTGTTTATCGCAACGGAAACAGTCGCGTCGTATCAGTGGCGAGTTTATTTCCAAGTATTACAATTCCTTCTCCCGTACGTCCTTAACGCGTCATCCTTTAATACAATTCCTTAATAATCCGAGGACAGTCGTCAGATCCGGAAGTAAATACGAGTAAAAATCGGTAATGATATACAGGTCGTCGCCGTAGGATAAGGTTTGCCGACCAGTTAGGTACTTCCCCCGGTAATTAAGTCCTAATTGTAACAGTTAAACATTGTACCACAGCAACAAAGTACGGCTTGGATTGCGTGGCCGGCAAGATCGTTCCCCTAGGCGCCGGTTATAATATCTTTCATTATAGTATATAACGTTATTGTATGCTTTTTCGAGTGGGATTTCCATCCCGTTTGTACTGGAAGAGAGCAGCAGAGTGTACACTTCGTTTAGAGACCAATGGCAACGTCTTGTGCGCTCGAGGGACACTATCAGAAACACTTCCGACGATTACATCAATAATTAATCAATAATACTTCGACCTGCTCGACGGTCGCCATCTTTTTTTTCTTTCTTTTTAATTCCCAGTGAAGAACCGTCCCCTCCGCGAAATCAAGAGAAATCAAAGCCTTTGCGGCTCCTTGTCTAGGGAATAATCGGAGCAACTATCGCAATCACTATACGCTAAGGGTCTACACGAGAATAATAGTAGCAATAATAATATCCGCCGTTTTCGCGCACGCCTTCTTATTCGCAATAAAGTGCCTCTTTGGTTTCTCTTGTTCGCAATAGAAATTTCCGACTACCGATAAGTAGATTTTTTAAATTTCGCGTATTAATTAATAATAAAAGGGTATCTCTTTGGGGTCTACATTGCGTAAATCTACACGGAGTAATTGAACACCTCTTGTCAACCAATCGAGCCATTTCCACCCCCTCCTTCCCACGAATAATACATAAAAGGGGTGAAAAGGGCCCGACAAGTAGCGGCATCGATTTTCTTTACACATTACGATTACTTATCCATTAATAACAAAGAGAAAAACAAGAGCTAAAAATCTGCATAAATGCCACAACGTAGTTTAAACCTCTCTCTCTCTTTGTTCATGTAATTCCCTGCGACATTCCCCCTAGAAAGAGTCTTCTCCAAGAAACTCCCCTGCTGATATGACGTAACAGCGATTTTCGAAAACGTCTGGTTTTCGAAAATCCCCTCCTGTTTTTTTTTTTTCTTTCCTTCTTGTATTGCGCATCATTTAGTAAACGGAGGAATTAACATCGAGACAGGGATTACTGGGGACTGAAGTCCCAGGTGGCAGCGACGGTAGTTACTTATCAGGAAAACTCGGTAGAGTTTCGCGCCAAATACACACTCGCATACGTATGCGCGAAGCCACGTGTACGCGTGAAACGTAACCGAGTTCTTAACATTATCCGGTCCTAGAAATGATAATAGTCGCTCGAGAAATAGTCGTCGAGCCTGCAATTCCAAATTCGGGGCGTGATTTTTTTCCGATTCGACAACAATTAGGGCAGTATCGGTCGCACCCCCCTTTGAGAGATCACCAGGAAGTCCGGAGTGAATCGATTTTTGACGCTCCTCGGCATCCTCTTAGGGTGCTCGAAGAGCTCTAAAATATCTCGGGCCTTCCCCTCTACCTTCTAATGCAACAGCCTCGCTGTTTCGGCAATCATGTCGTCAGCAGGTTCTTTATGTTCTTCGGGGTGTTCTCCTCGTTGAAGTGCTTCGTGGTGTATCTCAAGGCGTTCAAAAGCCCTTCGCTTTTGCAGGGAGGCTGATCCTTGAGGAGCTTCACGCAACCCTTCACCTGGATTTGGAAAATGCATATCTGTTATGTGATTAAACGTTGAGCTTAAAATTTCGTATAATTCTCAACGACTTCTTACGTCAACATTGGAGCCCTTGACGAAGGCACCCTGGGGATGAACATGATCGTAAAGGATGACGAGGCCCACCATGACCCTGAGGACGAAGAGCTGGGTCTCCTCCCTTTGGAACTGTGCCAAGAGGTTCCTGTTGGATAGACGAGGCTCTTCAAGGTCCAGATCGCGGAGGAATATTTTCTACAAATTAACTCCACGTCTCTTCGGGGTCACTTACGGGTTCTCCAGCATCCTGAGGCAGACCTTCGCCATGGTGCCCAGCGTTTCCGTGATGTTCTCCCTCGGGATGTCCTCGTTCTGGAATGAAGAGAGCGGTCAGTGACTATCGGGTGAGGCAATGGGGAAACTTGGGAAGAGATGGATATCCCACTGACGTCCATCAAGAAAGTTGTCGTCGCGTGGCTCAACACTCGCAACATCGGCGTCGCGTGGGCGTAGAACAAGGACATCCTGTTCGCCAACTCGTTGCCCACGACGAGGTCCTTCTGGGCACTGTCCTGTCTGGAGAGCGAGGCCCTCATCAGGGTCCTCCTGTAGTAGCTGAAGTCGTTCTGGATGGCGGGGGTCTTCATCTTGTGCTCGTCGAACTTCAGGACGAACTCCAGGATCTCTGCCAGTTGCTTGACGAGGGCTTGCTGGGTCTCCAGGTGTTGGGTTGGGGATAAGTTCCCGGAGCACAGCTGGCCCAGGATCTTAGGGACTACCCTCTCTGCAAGGATGATAAAAATTTTTAAAATTTGCGGTTTAAATAATAAGAAGCCCTGTCGATGAAACATCCGGGGAACCATCCTCTCTCCAAACTCGTTAACGATTGTTAAAATTAAATAACTATGAGAAGCACATCCGGATCTAGGATCGTGAAGACCAGCTTCTCTGCAGGGTCGGCAAGGTTTGTTAAAATTACTAGTTTAAATGGTCAAGGACTTGGATCTTAAAGCTCGGATGGTTCAGATCAACGAGGCCTCTCTACAGGTGGAAAATTATGCAGATTTCGTGGCGAGTTACCGAGCTCCAGGGAAAACTCGTAGAACCTCTTCAGCTTCGCAACGAGAGGGGCGACCGTCAAGTACGCTTTCCTCTGGCACTCCTCCGTGGGGGCGGAAATCGCCTCCCTTATTTCCTTCCCTGCCCCCTTGTAGCACTGGATCTCTTCCAGGATGGACTCGGAGTTCTTCAGCACCCTCTGCACGGCCTCGAAAGTCTCCCTCTCGATGTCAGAGGGCTGGGCGTCTGAAAATTCGCCCAGGAAACGTCATTCCACCTCCGTGATTTTCGCTCTAACGACGTCATGCAATTTTTCCCGCTCCCTTCTGCCCTTCTTCGTGGCCCATACTCACTCTCAAAGTCCAGGAAGACGTCATACTTTTGCGGGGTGCAACACGTGGACTCGTCTCGAGCTAGCAAGCTTAAAAGCTTCCCCATGGTACCTCGTCCCTCTTCCCTGGACACCTGGACCTCCCCTACACCTCCTGGTACTCCTGGAAAAGTTCAAGGACGGGTTCAGAAGAAGCTTTTGCCATTGTACAGCGAGCAGGTCGAGGGGAATTGAAATTTCCTATTCAAGTGCATAGGGCAATTCCTGGCATTAATAAAAAAATTAAAAAAAAAAAAGCGAGCGCGCTTATATCATCGCGGAGAAGTCGAGAGGAATTGAAGTTTGACGTTCAAGTGTAATTTTTAATATTAACCCTCGACCCAGTTTCAACTGTCTCGACGAGCCGAAACACGATTCCTGGATAAGTCCGGCCGGTAGGCGACAAATTCACGGAACTCGTTTCTTTCATTCTCGGTCGAGTGATCCCGTGCGAGATGTAAGAGGGTGATTATGCATTCCGGTCACGCATGAGTGCGTGATATCACAGGCCTTCTTTGTCGGGGCTCCTCAACTTGAAGAGCGCCACATTGTGTGCGCTTCAATCCCCCTTGATTCCCTCGGAAGACGTTGCTAAAAGTGTTTCCCTTCTCAACCCGTCCTTGAACCTTCCCAAGATGGTCAATCTTGACCTTATTTTTATTTTTATTTTTTTTTTTAGAAACCTCTGCAATTATTTACGAATTTCCCCGTACATTTAAATGGCATATTTCAATTCCTGGATATCTTTGGAATGACATAACAAAAGGCTTTTTTCTTTTATTGAGATGATTTTAGTTCGCCAGAACGGTTACTTCTTTATGGTTTAATTCGCTCTAAGTCGCTATCCTTATCGTTTATACCGTAAATGGGTGGAGGCAGATTAGAACGGTGTAACCAGTTTCGTTAAGGGTTAACTTCATCTACTGAGGTGTAATAAGTGCAATGAGTATCGCCGAGAAGTATACTTCCCGTGTAATGAGATCACGTAAAAACCGCCGCGTAAACGGCGGGGATCGTTTTTACCGGGCATAAAGAGAACCGCATAAAAAAAAAAAAATAATAATAAAGTACCGCGTAAACCGAGGAACAGGTGTGCAGAGAAATATGAGATTTTTCCCCGGTTAGGCCAGTTTTGTACGAGGCAGATGCAACACGAGCAATGTCAACAATGACACGCGCTGACTGCACAGCTGATTACATTGAACCCGTGAGACTCTCCCCGTTAATCATAATTATTAAAAGAGAGGAAATAAGATTTATTAATACGCGGACGGCACAGTTGAGGCACTATTAAGTCACACATCCAAGTCTACGAATTTTCAACAGTTAGGCCGATACCATGGAAAATAATAGCCGTATAGAATACGTCAACAATGAAGCATGGACGAAGACTGCCACTCAATATACACATACATCGAAATATTTTTAATCATCCTAAAAATAAGATGTGGTCATCAACACTATTAATGGCACAGTTGATGTACCATGACTCCTCTTTCCCAAAAATCCCGAAATCTCTCACAGCTCCTCCAGCTTCATGAAAAAAACACTCGCCACGCAAAACCCATCAATAAGGATATGTTGATAAAAACGAACACGTGAGACATCTCGCACTTCACAGTTGAGTCACGCTTAAGATGTGTCAAAAACACGGAAACAATGAGCTATCGAGCCGTCCCGAGTAAATCTGCCGATGTAAACGGACAAGGTATTCCCTCGCGGCGCGTCGTTAAGGGTGGAACAGACACCTGGGGGCGGATCAAGGTAAGGTCTCACCAGGAAGTCACGGCCTAGGGCATGACGCCGGTCCTGGCAGCCGTCGAAACGGAGGAAACGGACGGCGGCGCCGGGACGCGCGTCGCGCCGGGTGGCCGCGCGAAAAATCAATGCGGACGCCGGCGCGCGGCGGATCCGCGCGGGGTAAATTTAGCCGGGTAAACTTAGACTCGACGGAGGCGCCCGTAGGAGGTACGGCACTGCCGAGAGTGGAGTTGACTCAACCGACTGCACCTCCAAGCAAGACTCTCATTGTCCGCCTAAACGAGCGATAAGCCTCGATCGACGTCGATAAGACGGGAATAAGAGTCGCGGCCATGGGTGCAGGATTCTTATGGTGGGGTTTTTTTTATTTCATTTCACCTCGAGTTGAGTGATAAGGTCGGGGAACTATAAGGTGGAGTTGATAAGAGTGGTCCGGTTGACTTTGATTAAGAACCAAGGTAGAGTTTCGCGCCAGATACGTAAATAGGGAATTAGGTTGATGCAAGTCGATGTCAGGTGTTTTTACTTGATTTCACCTGGAGTTGAGTGATAAGGTCGGGGAATTATAAGGTGGAGTTGATAAGAGTGGTCCGGTTGACTTTGATTAAGAACCAAGGTAGAGTTTCGCGCCAGATACGGAAATAAGGAATTAGGTTGATGTAAATCGATGTCAGGTGCTTGTAGCTTGACGGTGGAGGGTGTTTGTATTTGGTCTTGGAGTTGGGCGATAAGCCTCGATCGATCATAGGTGTCCCCTATTATCGGGATCCTTGTACTAATTCTCCACATAACTGACCCATCTTCCTTGACTTGGCGCTCATTAATCAGGTTCGATCATGCGATAACGAGTCTTGTTGCGGGTCGTTAGGTTCTCTCTCTGAAGTTCTAGTTACCCCATAAAGCGGAGCGAATTGTGGCCTAACCCAAATGTTTGCAGTTGGGTGGATCCTCGCACTTATCTTGCACATATCACCTTGACGGATCATCCCCAATAATATCCTAATAAATCACGTTCAATACCCTAGGATAGCTATTTGAAGTCCAACTCCCCAACAAGCTCTACCATATATAAGTTTTATAAATACAGGTTTATTTCAAATAGCTTCAGGATAAAAAAAAAAGAAAAAAAAAATAGTGACGTTTCAAACCGCGTGATTGAGGAAGGAGGGTATCCCAGATTCTCCCCATCGCCCAAACGATCGGCAACTAGGCGTCGACCGATAACTCGCGATAACAGGACTGGGTCATATCACCACGCACGATTCCCCAATAAAACTGGAGCGAATGTACGCCAGATGCTCTGAGCATGCCAGATGCTCAAAGCGGAGCAGATCCTCGCACCTCGTCCAGGCGATTGGATAATCGTCGGAAATCGTGGGCGTCGATAACGGAGGCCCCATTCGGGCCTTTTTGTGCGCCAATTCCGTATGATCAATTGAACGGTCAGGACAGCGTGCAGGGACCTCCTGGTGGTAGCAGGGGTATCGGGAACCCGGTCGCACCTGGTCTCACCCGTCGACGACGGGGACGCCAGGGACGTCGTCGAAGGCCAAATGCCCCTGTGGGGACGCCTGACGTCCCATCGAAGGGGAACCTAATCGCCGTCGACGTCATTCCTGATAGGGTGGTGGCACGTCGTGGCCCCTCCGAGGAACGTGGGGGCATCCTGCAGCTCACCTCGTTGTCTCCCACGGTGGGGCATTCAAACTGGGCACCCCTTTTTTTGGGGAGACTAAACTGGTGGACGTCGTCGATGTCACGCTCGGTCTGATCGTAAGGACGATGGACGTCAGGGCACCTTCGAGGAACGTGGGGGCACCCTGCAGAGGCTCACCTCGTTGTCTCCCACGGTGGGGCATTCAAACTGGGCACCCCTTTTTTTGGGGAGACTAAACTGGTGGACGTCGTCGATGTCACGCTCGATCTGATCGTAAGGACGATGGACGTCAGGGCACCTCCGAGGAACGTGGAGGCATCCTGCAGCGGCTCAGCAGTGTGTCATGCCGAGGGGTCGACCTTCCTATGGTGACCAAACTGGGCATCTCTTTTTTGGGGCGCAGCCTAAACGGGCCAGCGTTATCGACGTCACGTTCAATCCCTGATAGGGCGATGAGACGTCGGTGCCCCTTAGAAAAACGTGGGGACATCCTGCAGCGGCTCCGTCCTGTCTCCCACACCGAGGGGACTCCCCCTGTTCGCAGACACCAGGGCGCCCAAAGTGAGGAGTCAGGTCCTTTAACTCCAACTTTTTCAGCTTTTCGGGGGCCTTCACAAAATTGCGGTGAATCTAGCTGAACTTTTGCAGACCCTTGCGAATTATGGGTCGGGTCAGGAGCTCAAAGTTGACCGTGGGTCATCCTGGTAGGTCTCTCCCCGAGTGTTTTAGGGTGTCCACAAAATGGGACGGCGCTTAGGACTCCAATGGATTCTCCTGAAAATTGCGGGTCAGTTCGGCGTCTGTACTCGGTATTTTTAGGAGGTCCCCTGGAAATTATGGGTCGCGGTCTCCCTCCTCGTTCTGCATGGCAGAGGCCAGAAAGGGAGAGGAACTCGGAGGAGGCCCTCCCGGCTCGCCTTTCCCTCGTGTCGGGCTCGCATAACTTGGTTATGACCGAACGGGGAAAATGTTGAAAATGTTGCGGCCCGGGAGTTCCCATGTAGCAATGAATTTCATTCTATTTCAGGGAATCCATTATGGAGTAGGTGTAACATCGATCCGCGTTTCTGCAGATGAATTCTCAGTTACAACTGCGCAGGGGAAACGTAGACAATGTTGCGGTCCGGGAGGTTCCCACGTAGCAATGTCTTCGGCAATGAGTCCCACTCTATTTCCGTGAATCCATCATGTAAAAAGTCGCAACTTCGGTCCATGTCTCTGCAGATGAATCGGACCCGATGAACTGCAATTGGCTCCAGTTTCCGTCTGTCCGCGTAATTACAGTTTTCCTGTCAACCTTTAGCGTCTCTTCCCTGTCTTCAAATGCCCAGGAGAAACTTTTAGCTTCTCACGAAAAATCTTGCACAAAATCTTTTTTTTCAGCTCGGAAAATTCTTCCGCGACATATTCAACCGATCGAAAAATGTTGCACACGCTCAGCCTGCAATCCGAGTCGACATGCATCACTTTTCAACGCAGTTCCGAGTCCCGGATAGAATGCCGTGAAAAGTGTTGAGGTTAGGGCTCTTCCACTTCGCGACTTGATTATCCAGGTCGCGGATAATATGCTCTTGACCTCGGATCCTCGTCTCCATTTCCCGCCTCCGTCAGTTTGCATAATTGCCACACTGTCCACTTTTTACTCCACGCTCGACGCACGCAATGGAAACGCCGTTGAAAAGGCCAGGGTGGAGCGGCCTTAAGGCGATATGAAAGTGTGATATATAAAAAATTCTATATATTGCATATATATAAAGAATGACCCTTTATATATATATACAATATACAGAATATATAAAATATCCCCTTAAGGGCTCCTAACCTTCCAATTTCCGCCGCGGGGCGACCCGGACGTCGATTCAACGCAGGACGGATTAACGGCCGCGTTCCGATTAACGTCCGAGTTAACGCGCGTCCCTTTTCCGCTGCGGCCGTTTATATCGCGCGTTGGGCTCCAAAAGAACCGCACCATGTAAACCCAGAGATATAAATACGTTTAACGTAACCGTAAAGAGGCGATAACGTGAAATTACCGTAAATTCGTTAAACGTAATTTAAAAAAAAACCATTCCTGTACAAATGTGCGTTAACGATTAAAAATGCGTTAACCTAAAAGTATTAACGCAACCGCGAAAACGTATAGATAATGGTGCATAAACCTGAATATAAAAAACATAAACGCGTCACAGTGTGAACGTAATCGCGGATATATAATCGAACGACATATAAGGGAATAACATAAAGGCCATAAGCGGAAACAGGGAAACGGAAACGCATACACAAGCGTGTAACGGATTTCAAGGTCAGCGAGAGTAGGGCGTTATCATTTCAGCCAGGATTGATAACCGGTCTAGCTCTTAATAAGACCTAATTAATAGAGTCCGCAATTACTAATTACCCGTTCCGAGTAGTAATTACGCGTAGCAGCGGACAATAAAGCGGTAATTAAATAACAAGTGCCAGGAAGGCTTATATCTCCGTTCCCGAGATTTCATGCAAACGCGGCTTCGTTATCCAAAAACCGCAACGGCGATAAGCCCCCACTCCCGGTTGTTATTCCATCTTTTCCTTAAAGTAATATCAATTAAGTTTACGCATACGAATTAGAGATAATAATTACCGTTACGAGGGAGAAGATAAGCGCCGACATGTCCGCCGTTTCCCCGGGAAGACGAAGAGCAGCTAAACGACAGTTATTAGGATTAACGGTTATTATCGCCTGGCAGAAAAGAGGCGCGTTATCGGCCGGCACTGATAACGCGTTATCGACGAATCCGGCACGGCCGATAACAACTCCACCGGTAAACGCGATTGTTTTTCTCCCTTTCTCCTTTCACCCACTTTCGGTGTTTGTCGCTCGCGACTCCTCCTCGTAATCGGGACGAGGATGGACGGAACTCCCGGAAGTTCGCTACGGCGTCGTCGGAAGTGCGCGGAGGTCCCCTGACTCGACTTCCGGTTCGCTCGAGCAGATGTTGCTCGGGCCAAGCCGCGTGCGCAACTGACGAGGTGCGCTCTCTCGCTGTTAGAGCTCGCCCGCGGCGACCAATCACGTGACCGGGCGGGCAGGTGGTGGGGGAAGCCCCCATCCACCGAGAGCCCATCCCCTCCACGCTCATTCCCTCACCGACCGTCAAGCAGGTGCGGTCTCCGGTATAAGCGTAGGTAGAAAGAAACAAGATCATGAGTGCAAAACAAACGTTTATACCGGCACCTTAAAAGCCATACTTATAAATATCGAATTAATAAGTCTGGCATTAAGAAGTCGTTCCTATTTATAAGTGTTAAGCGTCGTGTAAATTGAGTTTTACGTCAGTATTACCGATAAGAACGGAGTAAGGTATTAATACGATTAACACCTGTAGTTAAAACATCGGTGCTTGTAAAATCGGTGTTAGGTACGGTGTTTAAATGAGGACGTTTACACGAGCTATTTTACACCGAGTTTCTCGCAATTAGCACGCCGGTGTGGCATTACATGGTATTAAACCGGATAATAATGCACCTTGAAATTAATCAACAACGAGATATGCGGGGTATTGATCCAAGGGAAACTCGTATAAGCCTCTCTGGGAAGATTTCGATTGAACGAGCCCGGGGAGCAGGTGCGCACAATACCTACTTGTCGGAGAAATAACGAGCGCGCTGACTAAGCGCACGATTATCCGGCATGAGCTAGCGATACCGAAACCGGCGGCCTTGTGCCAATCGTGTCAGCGTTTCTAGGGGCAATGACTCGCTCAAAATTCAAGAAGGAAACGTCCGGTCGCTCGGTCGAGAAAGGTGGAAAATGACGCACGAATTCGATGCCCCGAAGGGGAGACTCTCTTCCCACCTCGGTAGTTCCAGTAACTGCCGTACCAACCGACGCGCGTCGACCGCGAAAATTTGAATTCGAGATACCAGTTTCCTAATGGATACTGGATATAAATGGCGCTAGTCGCCAATGGTTAAATCAAACTCTAATTGCCTACCCGTCGTTTTCTAGCGACCTGGTTTACCCTATATGGATGTTACCTTATGTAGGATACAGGGGACTTACCTTACCTCCGACCTCCCTCCACGGCACCTCGTTGCCGACTGCGGGGTAAGTCGCTCTCTCCGCGAGCTCGGTTACCGGCGCGCCGTGGGCGGTGCCTATTGGTTCGCCGGCGCGCGCTCCCATTGGCTGCCGCGTGGCGCGCATGGACTTGAAGCTCGAACCCGCAGCCGGCGGATTCGCAGTCGCGTCGCAACCGCCGCCGGTTCCGGACTCGCGATCGCCGCGAAACGGGCGGGCGAATCCGCGCCCGGAGATCTCTAAAATCGAGTGACTCGCAGCATCCCTGGTAAACCGAACTCTTCCCGTTCATCCTCTCTGAAAAAACCATTTTACAATCTTATAAAAAAAAAAAAAAACATTCTTTTTATGATTTCTCAATAAATTTTAATTTCTCATCTCACAGGTGAGTATCTTTTTTTCGAAGGAGCTGCGGCGAGGTGCAATGCAAATTTACGAGGGGAATCTTCATTCTTATAGTTTTATTCCTTTTTTTCAGCTGTGACTTTTTTGTTCCACGTTCTGGTTTTATTTTCTTTCTTGTAGGTTTACCCTATTGTTTCTTGGTTTACCTTCCCAGACGAGATGGACCGGGAGGAGAGCCGTGGAAATTGGAAAGAAGAGGCGAGGAATACTTGTAGTGTCGCGAGGAAACCGTAAATTGTAACTCTTAATAAATAGAGATATGCAAAGCGTGCTAATTTTCATTAAATGCCTGATAAGGGACCTGATGGATGAACATCCTGAATATTAAGGACTTCTGAATCTCCGGGAAATAAATCGATTTGTTAATCGACTTAGATAGGAATTAAAAATAAAAAACTAGGTAGCTTAAATACGATACCGTAGGTAGTTTTACAAAAGTTGGTGAAGTTTGGGAATAAGTGCAATGGAAGATAAGTTTCGAAGAAGTAGAAGAACGTCTTGAGGACGAAGGGGTGCAGCCGTGAATTGATGATACATTGGAGGAACGATACACATTTGGTCCCCCCTTTCCCGAGGGATAGGCGAGGTCACACTTCTCGGAGACGTCCCGGTGAAGTCGAAACAAGGATACGAGGCAAAAAGGCGTCCCAACCGCTGCCAGAGACGCGAGCTCGCGCGCGATAAAATATTCATGAGCACTTTTAGGGTGCTCCACGAAGATGGGTCGCATCCAGGCCATGAAGAGCATCCCTTGAGGAAGAGCTCCGGAAGACTTTGTCCCGCCTCGGTGGCCGGGGTCGCGGGAAGTGAACAAAACTAGAAGATTTCAGGACGCATATTTTCCAGTCTTCGGACCCTCGGAAACGAGGAATCCCTTGGACAAACAAACGGCGCAAAGGATACCCCAAAGTTTTTAACGGCATCCCAAGAAGAATAGCAGACCTTGAAGAGCACCCTTCGAAGACCGAAGAAAAGTGATAGATCTTTACGGACGATTTACAAAATCCAAGGCCCGAGGAGCGAGACAATGAACATTTTTAGAGGCTGCAATAAGGCCTTGAAGAGTGTTCCCCACTTCTTCAGACCCCCCAGAAAACTGTCTTTCCTAGAGTCCTAGGAGGATCCAGGTCGAGAGGAGCCAGACTTCAGGGCGAAGCTTTTCCTGGCTGTGGAGCCTTAATGAGCGAAAACCGCTTCGAGGTGAGAAGCAAGCCCCAGGAGGTGCACCATGGAGGAGGCGTGCAGCGGACTGAATTTAAGCACGTGCACAGGGAACGGGACCAGCAAGGACGAGGACGCCTATGCGTTCGACTATCAGCAGCTCCAGAACATCGTCTCTGTGGTGGTGCCGGTGTTCTTCGGGGTGATCGGCCTCCTAGGCCTCGTCGGCAACTTCCTCGTGGTGATCGTAGTCGCGGCGAACCCTAACATGCGATCCACCACAAACCTCCTGATAATTAATCTCGCGATTGCCGACCTGCTCTTCGTCATATTCTGCGTGCCATTTACCGCGACCGACTACGTTATGCCGTTCTGGCCGTTCGGCAATATCTGGTGCAAGTGCGTGCAGTACCTCATCATCGTCACCGCATGCGCCAGTGTGTACACCTTGGTGCTGATGAGCCTGGACAGGTGGGTCTTGGTTTCACTTCTCCTGAATGGGCGTTTCCGTGCTTTGGTGTTGATGGGAGTAGATGGCTGGGTCCTGTCTTCCTCTTAAGATCGGATTTAACAATAAGTCAGGACTGATGAGCCTAGGGAGGTCTGCTTGGCTTGTTCCAAATGTGCGTTTCTGTGGTTCGGTGTAGATCGATGAAGATCCGATTTATCAATATGTCAATCATAAGTCTGGATGGGGTTGCCTTGAAGTCCGCTTCCTTCTTCCTGTGGATGATCCTGGACAGGCGGATCCTGCCTTGGTCTCACCTTAGCTTCCTACTCGTCGCCGATCGTCATGAACTGGCTGATCTCATTCCGGACCACCCTGGTGAAACGGGCCCGGAATCGCTAGGGTGGATCATCCCGTGCTCTCCGAGCTGCCGACTCGCGGGGAGGATCCCCGGGATCCCCGGGACTCGTAACCGGGACCCGGGTCCCCGATTTACGATCCCGAGGACGCGAGCCAAGTCCGCGCCCCTCGTAACCCCCGCACCGAGCCTCGTAAAAGGTTTACGCGGGTAAAATACGCCCCTACGCATCTCACGCATAAGAAATCACGCAGCTCGTGGGGGAGCGTCCTCGGCGACAGATGCGGTTCGGTGCAAGTCGTAAAGTCCTTTGCTTCCTGCCAGGATATAGGTTAAGAGGGGGGAAATATTGGGGTCCATCCCTAAATTTTTCTCACAAATTTCGTCCCGATAACCCCTCCGAGATAAGCGTAAAGATGCCCCTCCAAGACCAATGAGACTACTCGATAATTTATTTAATGTATACCTCAGTTAAATACACTCTTACATATAAGGCTCCCTCATGAAACGTCAAAGTTTGGCGCAGTCTTGAAGCTTTAATTTATACCAATTTTTTGTTGATAAGGGAGTTTGGATCTAAGTAATGATGCGCTGTCAGGATTAAACGTCACGCGATAAGCTAACAAATACGTATACCGATGAAATTCGTATTTCTATCTGAAAGTGCTTTCGCAAAAAATTACACGCCTGTGCAAGCTTTAAAGCTTTAAAGCTTTAATCCCATCCTCTAATTTTAACTTGACAACCGGACTGTGATCCTCATAGAGATGCCCGACAGAATGAGGCACTACACGATAAAATACCAAATGCAAATGCGGATGGATTGCGTATCTACGCATGCCACTCGTAAAAAATCACGCAGATGGTGCAGAATTACGAGGCGCGACGACAGATATGACCTGGGGCAAGTCGTAAACTTTCTGTCAAAAAATACATCGCAGGTTAGGGAAGCGATATGTCGAGGAAAAACTCTCTTCGATATTTTTTTTTCCCCCGATAACCGAACCAAGATCCGAATAAAAAATGAAAGTGTCGTTTCAGCAAGGCGAGATGCCACAGGATAAAGTACGAAATAAACGATATACAATGTGCATCCACAAAACATTTATGTCAGAACAATGTGACCGTCCCATATATCTTTGTAAGACGTAACGTATACATTACATGGACGTAAAATTTCTATTTCTATTTCCCACGCAGTTACACATATGTATATGAGCATTGATTTAATGCGTGATTTTTTCCGCGTAAGAGTTTTAATTTTAACCTCGTACATTGAGTACATTGGCACAATGTACACCTTGGAGAGATATGAGTTTACTGATATTGCACCAATTAATATTGCCAAATTGGTCGGTGCCTCTCTTGATATTTTTCTGGCATCATGGTCAAGAGAGGCGGAGCAAGATAAGGTATTACCCTGTTTTCTCACTTTCAATTATATTGTCTTCGTGGTCGGATCGGTGTGTCGGTGTCCACACATCTCGCGTCCATGTTCGGAACCGGAAGTGAGACCAGGAAGACCAGGAAGTCCCGGAAGAGGAGATACACGAATGGGCGCGACTCTCGTTTGGAGGAGCTCCAAATTGTCGCGATAAAGGACGCCGGGACCGATCGATTTTATATTACGGACAAAATGGCAGGACGATTTACGAGGCCGAATTCGAGCATCGAGAGATCGAGTTTACGACTCGGTCTAACGCGATTTAAAGGGCGCCTCGCCATCCTGCCAGATGCCGGAGTTTCCTTTCCCCCGCCATCTTTATTCTGCACATATTTCGTCGAATATTCTTTTCTCCATCAGACCCTCTTTCCACATATAAAAAAAAAAAAGGAAACCATCGAAGACAGTCTTCCCATATCCGTGATGTCCTTTTCACCCCTGCGGGATTTTCTGTCAGCCCCATAAGGAGGAGTCGATTCGAGTAATCGACGTCGATAAAATTTCTCGGCGGGTTTCAACTTCACCTTAATGGAGGAAACTGTTGCGCTTGTAATATACGGCGGTAGGGAAATTTAAAGGAAAATGAGGAAAAAAGGGGATAGTCCACCTGCTCGCTCTTTTTCCCGTTTCGCTACCGTGGGAAGAATATCATGGGATATTTGGAGTGCGACCTCCGGATATCCCACCCACGTGGTTCTCTCTTTTTCGTTCCCCTGGTCTTTCTCTTTTCTCTTCTGGTTAAAGACTTGCTCGCGAACATCGGGAAAAGCACAAAGCCGGGTCTTTCTCTTCGCAACCCTTATGTCTGCCAAATGAAACCTACACGAGGCCGCGGGCTAAACTTTAATAAAGTAAAATAAAAGCACGGCTCGATCCCCCGTCAGAGAGTCGCTCGAAAAAGCGTTATTCTTGCCTCTATTCGAGGCTTTATTCACGTTATTCCCAGCCTGAGAGGCGAATTATTTCCATTTTCCTCCCTTCGTCCCAGTTACTGGATAAAAAAAGCAGGCCGTCGAACGGGAACGACGAGAGGCCAAGACAAATCGCGGAAAAGCGAGAAAAGCTTCCTTTTATGGATAAAATGATCGAGCCTTAAAGTGCATCGATTTTTTCCGCACACAAATTTAAGGGATGATTTTCACCCAATTTTGGACAAAACGGTGGCGAGCCTCGTTCGGGGGAGCGACGATTATTTTTCATTACATTTGCACTTTATTTCCTACTTTATTCTCATTTTATTCGTCCATTCACTTTTTAATGCATCCGTGAATTCATTATCATTTTGTTTGTGAATTTGTTTCCATTACATGGAACGTTTCGTCTTCTCTTCTCTCGTGAATATGTTATTTTACTTTTTTTCCCGTCATTCGTTATTTCATATACTATATTAATTTTCTGAACATTCGTTGAACTGCATCCATTACTTTCGTTCGCGCCCTGTTCGTGAATTTCTTTGCGTTCAATTAGCCTTTTAATGTCCCTCCGCGAGAGTATGTCCATTCACCTCGTCCTTTAATTTCTCCCTCCAGGAATTAATTCTCCATTTAATTCGTCGTTCAATTTTCCCAAAGCTCATGAATTTCCATTTAATCCACCGTCCCGTATTAATATTTCATAACTTTACCTTTATTTTCCATATCTTTCCAGGTACCTTGCAGTGGTGCACCCGATAGCATCCATGTCGGTCCGAACGGAAGCTCACGCCTTCCTGGCGATCTGCATCGCCTGGGCAGTCATCCTGACAGCCTCCATCCCAGCCTTCGTGATCCACGGCGAGGTGAGGTCCTTCGGGTCGAAGGAGAGGACCCAAAGGACTCCTCCTTCGGCAACTATCGGCTCGAGTCCTGGTTCCGTGTCCTTGAGCGGTTCCCTCGCATTCCCACAGGTGCTCGACTCGTTTCAGGACCCTTACAACTCGACGGTCACCAGGACGTCGACAGCCTGCAGGGTCCTGCCCCAGTTCAACTGGCCCCTCTTCCAGGTGACTTTCTTCCTCAGCAGCTACATCGTGCCTTTGACCCTGATATGTGGTCTCTACGTCTGCATGTTGCTGAGGCTCTGGAGAGGAGCCCACGTCAGCGCGGAGAGCAGGAGGGGAAAAAGGAGAGTCACCAGGATGGTCCTCATCGTCGTTGGGGTCTTCGCGATCAGCTGGTGTCCCATTCAGGTGAGGGGACCATGTTTTGAAAGGATGCGAGGTTGATTTTTGGACGTGGACGAATTTTTAAGAAAGGGGAACCAGGATGGTCCTCATCGTCGTTGGTTTTGGGACGTGGGCGAATTTTTAAGAAAAGGGAACCAGGATGGTCCTCATCGTAGTTGGGGTCTTTGCGATCAGCTGATGTCCCATTCAGGTAAGGGGACTATGTTTTGCAAGGATGCGAGGTTGATTTTTGGACGTGGACGAATTTTTAAGAAAAGGGAGCCAGGATGGTTCTCATCGTAGTTGGGGTCTTTGCGATCAGCTGATGTCCCATTCATGTGAGGGGACCATGTTTTGCAAGGATGCGAGGCGAGTTTTGGGACCTGGACGATTTTCAGGATGTCAATTTATTTTTGACACGTGGTCGAATTTTTGGGATGTCGATACATGTTTGGGACGTGGACGAGTTTTGAGGACGTCGATAAATGTTTGGGACGTGAATGAATTTTCGATGTAGGTTTCTGGGGTCTAGAGGTAATTTTGGGATGTGGGCGAATTTTTAGATTGTCGTATGTTCAGGACGTGGTCAAATTTTGAGGGAAAACAGATATTCCGGAAATTCGGACAAGTTTTAAATCCCGGGTGGAGGTACATTCTGAATATGGCCGAATTTTCGCGAGCAATGGACGTACTTACAAAATGAAATAAAAATCTGGAAACCCTCTTCGTGGGAGTGGGCGAGTTTTTCGGGATTTTCCCGAAATCCTGACGAATTTTCGGGACGCGGCCGCGCTTTTGCATCGTACTTCCAAAGGAAGGATGTTTTAGATGATCCTGGTGATAAAGTCTTTGGACCTCTACCCGATGTCGTCGACTGCGGTGACGATCCAGATCGCGAGTCATGTCCTGGCCTACGCCAACAGCTGCGTCAACCCGATTCTCTACGCCTTCCTCAGCGACAACTTCCGGAAGGCCTTCCGGAAGATCATCTACTGCAGACCTCGACAGGACCCCCACCATCGTCTGGGTCCTGCGACCAGGACGACGAGAGCTGCCAGCACGGGAGACATCATCTAGGTGAGTACACGTCCTTTGAGAAAAGGATATCCTTAAACTTTGGTACCCAGGGAGAAAAATATGGACACCCTTTCCCGGGATTAAGGTCCTGGAACGGGTGCTCCGTTTTTCCTGAAGAAATAAGATGTCACGGGCGGAGGTCCTGCAGGACTGGCGTTCTTCAAGTTTCTCATTCAAGGACCAAAATGTGAATGCTGTCCTTGATGAAGCTTTTGCTGGTTCTTTAGACTCGGATCCTGGAACTGGTGCACTCCTTTTCGGGAAAATCCCCTCTCGGAAGGGTTTGCGCCCTTCTCCAGCTCGTCCTCCCGAGAGGGAGTCCATCCTCTGGTGGTGTCAGGCATCGTGACAAATATCCTTTCGCGACAGGACGGCCCTGCAAATTGGCCCTTGTGTAGGACCACCTACGTGACCGCTTTCCCGATGCCGTTCCATCGATCGAGCCTTCTCAGCCATGTCTGATGTCCTTCGCAAAGTTCAGACGCAAAGGAGAGGAAGAGATATCCCACCCTTTCGGAAATTGCGGAAGGAAGATGACGTCTGCCCCGTTGATCAAGGCTTTTTAGCCATGTCTGATCAAAAGGTTTCCAGGGATCAATCGAACAAAAGCTACGAAGGACAAATTCAGGGAAGGGCGTCGGGGCGAAATCCGCGAAAGAGATTCCCCGGGAAAAATCCTGGAAAAACAGAAACTCCAGGAAAAATCTAGGAAAAGGTCTGCAAAATCGGTTTCCAGGGAAAAATCCAGGCTCTCAGACCAGGAAGCGGTCACCTTGGGTGCAATATCGCGGAAAATGAAGTTCCTAGGAAAGTCGGACCCGGTCAAACGACGTAATCAGGAAAACCTCGTCGGCGGATTTCCCTGGCGACGAGTGCGTCGGATGTTCTCGAGGATGCGCCCTCGGAAAATTTCCATCTCCGGGAAACGCGATTTTTCGTGGGTCGGGTTTCCCGAAGGACCTCTGCTCAGAGATTGCTGCGAAAAGCACCGCCGAATTTTCCGGCCGCCCGACGAGCCGGGAAAAACGCTCGAGATTTTCCCAGAGCATCCTTGATATCGATTGATATCGTTGGCAGTGATTAGATTCGAGGAGCAGTCGTGCAGGATGTTCCCGGATTCGAGAGGATCCTCTTCAGGGTCTTCGAAGACCCGACAAGTGGCGTGAAAATTCTGCCTCGATCGAGGGAAAAAAAAAATGAAAATAAAATAAGGGGACTGAAAACTTCTACCTGAACCATCTTAAAAATATTTTCGTAAATATTTAATATTATTTCAGGAAATATTATGATCGGATTAAATGTAGGTTAACTTTACAAGTTGGTTTAAACAATGTCCGATAAAACGGCATGATACTCGCTTCATGAATTAGCAAAAGTTGCGGAATAATTCAGGCCGTCACGTCAAATTTGCAATTTTCGTCCAACTTTGTAAACTAAAGTCATAACACTTTCAAATTTCCCGACATTGTAATTAAAATCGCCACGTCAAATACTCCATTTAATCCTACTCTGTATGCCATAAACATAAAATGTCTAATTTCAACAGTGTTCTCTTATTTTATACCCCAAGGTACGACTATTGTTTGATTCTTTAATTTCGTTAAGAAAAATCGTGAAAAATCGGGCTGTGGAGGGACGAAGAGATCCTTCCGAGGACACCAAGGGGTCCTTTGAGCGTCGAATAAATCAGGACGAGCAGGACATGGTTCCCACGAGGACTCTGACGGCAGTCCGGATCTCCGGAAATTCGAGGAAAATCGTGGAAAATCGTGGAAAGTCGTAGGAAACCGAGGCGACTCGTAGAAAATCGTGGAAAACCGTGGGAAATCGGAGGAACATCGCGGAAAGCCAGGAAGGTACAAGCCGATCCTGGAGAGCAGGATCCCATCCTGACGCCGCATTAAATCACGCACTTCCTGCCAACTTGCGGCGTAATTCGAGGCGAATGCTCTTTCCCAGGATTCGGGGAGGGAGGTCCCTTTCGCGGTTTTCCCTCGGCAAGAGGATTTATCCGGAGCCCGAAAAGTTGCCTTGCTAAATGGTGACACGGAGCCCCAAAGTCGGAAATCTACGTCGACGTTTACTCCGAATCGCGTGACGGCGAAAATCCACCCCTGCGAGTCGAAGTTTCCCTCCTGGCGTTTCCATTTTGCTCGTTTCCATTTAATTCCCCGGAGTTGACTGAATGTCCTGGGACTATGACAAATCCTCGGATCGATCGTGAGGAATTTTTCCCTGTCCTTGTCTCCGCGCATAATTAATCGAGATCGATCGGTGGCAATTAAAGGAGGTCTCGGAATGAAAAGTTGGGAAACATTGATCCTTGAAAAATCCTCGTTCCCATTTTAATTCCTTGGAGCTGATTTAGTGTCCCGTGACGATGACAAATCCTCGAATCGAACCTAGGAAATGTTCCCTTGAACTTGTTACCGCGGATAATTAATGCAGATTGATCGACGGTGATTAAAAAGGATCATAAACTTATCCTTGACAATCCTCGCTTTGCATTTAAATCATTTAGGCTGACTTGTCAATTGTGAGATGAAAATCAAAGTAACTGTCATAAATGTCCTGCGAATCAATCTTTTTTCCCACTTTTTCGATTTATCTTATTTATTCCAATGTGGCGTCTTGCTGTGGGGAATTTCCAAGTAGCAAGAAATCCTTTCCAGGATTCGTTTTCGCGCTTCCAGGACAAGTAGCGATCTGGAGCGATCAGGGAAGGGAATCCTAGGAACGGATATCCTGGTAACTGTGCCGTGTGTATTCCCAGGCCGTGCAGGACGAAACCATCCTCTCTGGCCATCCTTCTTTCCTCCCTTCCTTCCTCCACCCTCCACCTTGTTATAGGCCGGGTTTCCATTTGCCCCTCAGGACTCGGGGGCGTTGAAACACTTTACGACATTGCGGATTACGGGAATGCCAACCCCGAAGAAGACCACCCTCCGCCATTCGCCAAGGAGTTATCCCCGAAGAAATCGACCGCGAAAAAAAAAAGGGGAGGGATCCGGAAGTCGCCGATTAATTAATTCCACGGGATCCGGAAAAATTGCATCTTTCTTAATCGAGCCCCGGATTAATTAGATTAATCAAGCAAACCAATTGAAATTATTGGAATTAAATGGAATCTGATTTGATTAAATTTTGTAAGAAATTCACCGGGAAGAGAAAAAACGGGATTTAAAAATTATCGATTAATCAATATCAGAGTGTCTTGAAAAAATTCCGCCTTTCTAAACTGAGCCCTGAAATAATTCTATTTAATCGAATAAACCGACTGGAATTATTCGAATTAAACGAGAACTGATTTTATTTTCACCCCGGTGGAATTTATTTCGCCGACAAATCCGATAATGGGGCCTATGGGATGGCAGACATCGGCAAGTGATTGTTTGGTCAGATGAAATGATTGGGTAATAATTATTGCGCGGCGCAATCATTACACCCTGTTTTTCAGGACCTCGTTAAATTCCTGTTTATCGCGTTTATGTTGATAACTATGCCGCGACTGTTACGATATGACGTTGTTTGTACTACATTGATAACTGCTGATAATAACAGGGAGGCAGGGAAATATTGCAAAGTGGATCTTTGAGGGTGAGGATGATTTTGAGGGAATTTGGAATGTTGAGGAAGATAAAAAAAGTGCCTCTGAAAAGAAGTCACCGAAGAAATTAATTGATGTCGAAGAGGTGGTCCCCACCGAAGAACAGATTCTTCCAAAGAGAAGGCCTTTCCCAAAGAGAAAGATCCCCCTGGCGAGATGGGCTCACCTGGAGGAAAAATCCTATCAAAGAGGTCCCTCCCAAAGAAAAGGTCCTTCCTAAGAAAAAATAGTCTCCCCGAAAAGGTGATTCACCCCGGAAGAAATGATTCTTCCCTGAAGAGGCCTCCTTCCCCCAAAAAAGGATTCCCCCCTGAAGTGGTACTCACCTCCCATGGACGAGCCAATCAAATCTCGGCTTATCATTCGAGACATATCTATCTCGAAACGAGAGGCCGAACCCATCAACTCGATCTGGAATCGAAATTTCGGAAATGGCCTCAATACGCGTCGCGCCATATTTCCTTCTACCCTAAATTCGAAAAATCGAACGAGAGATTTAACGACGTGTCTCTTTTTCTGTTGCAGGCGATGCCGGGGCCAAAAAGAAAAAACGAAAAATTAACCAGACGTGGTGCGGTGGAACCCTAATCGTTATCAGGCGTTATCACATCACAATCGTTAAAAAATCCCTAATTGGAAAATATTCCCCGTACATCGTGCTTAGACAATTAAAAAACGAAAGTAGACCGCGTTTAAGCGAAGGCGTCGTTATCAGGCGTTGTTATCACGTGGACCGAAAATTCGATTTTTCCAAAATGTATGAAAAAATGCTTAGAAACTTCAATTTCGACTAGACTCTCAATCCAAAATGTAAGTTAAATCTTCAAAACCTCTAAAGTCAATCACTCAAGAATTGATTTTGTTATCACTCGTTATCAGGAGTTATATCGACGGGACTTGAAAAACCCAGTGGAAGGGCCCCGCAAAAAAACGGGGAAAAAGTAAAATGAAAATTGCGCAAACTCACTTTCGTCCTTCCGTAGCGATTATCGAGGGCGAGGCCAATCGACTCAGCAGAATCGGGGGAAAAAAAAAGGAAAACGAGGAAATCGATTTCCCAGGGATCGAGGGAAGGAAAAATGGAAAAAGGGAAAGGAAAACTCGAAATCGGAGACGCCGACGCGAAATCGAGCGATCGTACGCGATGGCAATTTATACGGTTGACATAAAGCTTAATAACATTCGCATCGGATGGGAAAAGGGGGTGGCGGGGGGAGGGGGNGGGGGGCGATATCGTTAGCAATTCCCGTCGGCATTCCCTATCAGGCCTCGATTTTAATGCATTTCGAAATGGTCCCGCTCTCGGTTCGAAATTTAAGGGAAAGAGCACGAGGCTGGAATTAGTAATCGATATCCCTTTTCCAGAATGTTATCACCGGGGATTAAAGCAAGCCCCGTGATAGCGCGATTTATTTACGCCGTGTTGTCTCGTGGACGAAGGAAAAAAAAAAAAATAACATGAGATTTTTCAACCCTCAGATGTGAAATTAAATATCAAATTAGACGTTAATGCGAAATATTTAAAGCTGAATTGTGGAAGAGGCTTTTTGCCAATTTCGTTAATTGTGACCGTTTTTGTTCATTTGTGCAATCAAATTAGACATCGATGCGAGGTATTCGAGATCGATTTTTGGGGGTGGCTTTTTTTTCCCATTCTCATGGAATTCTGTGAAAAGGTCCTCGGGGAGGTTTTTCGAAAACAGTTTACGAGCAGTTGGAACGGGTAACATCATTTTTGATGAGAGATTTAATAATCGGTATCCCTTTTTCCGGATGTTATCACTGGGGTTAAAGCTCGGTGATAACGCATTTTATTTTCGCGAGAGTGAAACCGGAGAGGGAGGAAGAAAAAGAAGCGAGAAGAAGCGGATGAGCTTTTCTCGACGAAATTTCATCCCCCGGGAGGTAGAAGGATGTCCAATTAGATTTCGAGATCACTAAATTGTCCATTATCATTATTTAAATATTTTTAAGAGATTCTCTAGAGGGAGGCTTTTCAAGAACCCATTTTTGGGGGGTTCAAAAGGGAGGCATCATTCACGAACGTTATCTCTTTTAAAAAATTGTATCGCAGGGATTAAAGCGTCCCCAGTGATAAAGCATTTTATTTACGCGGTATTGTTTTGCAGGGGGTGGAAAGAGGGGGGGGGAAGCAGGAGGTAAAAACGGGAGCGAAAAAAATTGAGAGGAAGCAGATGACTCTTTCCCAGTGAAATTTCATCCCCAGGGAGAAGGGGGACGTCAAATTATATTTCCTGTTCTCTTTTCAGACAAGATCACCAAATCAGCTGTTTTTTTTTTCCCCCACAAAAAAAAGTGTTCAGGGACTCGTCAAAGGGAGGCTTCTCAAAAATACATATTTTTGGGGTGGAAGGGTGGACGCCATTCGGGAAATTAAAATTAACCCTCGATAACCCAAAATTGTATCAAGGGGGTTATAACATCCCCTGGTGATAACGCATTTTATTTACGTCGCTTTTCTTCTCGGGGGTGAAAAGGGGGAGAAGAAAAAAAGAGAGGGTCTCGTGGATGAGGTCCTAGAGAGATTTCATCCCCCGAGAGGAGGGTGTGTGCCGAATTAGATATTTACGTCCTCTTTGCTAGATCTCTGAATCGGGTGGATTTTTTTTTTTTGGGGGGGTGACTTTTTTCTTCCCTTTTCGGGGGATCTTCCTTAGGGGAGGTTTTTTGGAGGGCTCGCAAAAGGGGACACCAGCGTGCGATTAGGGGGATGATCGTCGCCCTAACGAGGGTGCCAATCGGCCTCGCGGAAATTCCGCCATCTTTGAGGCGGGTTTGAGAATTTCTTTCGGGATTTCGGCTTATTCCTCACGTATTGTATTTTCTCATGACTTTATCGAACGTCTATAATTCATAAATACCGATCCGAAAGAGGCGAAGACCTCCACCCTTTCGGCATCCCTGCTCTTCGGGGCGAACATCTCAGGAATTCTCATTCAACCCTGCGCGCCGACCTCGGCGGACTGCAGGGGTGCAAACACATCCCCGAGAACCGGCAACTCGAGAAGATTTACGTCAAGGGAACTCGATTAACCCCCGGGTTGACCAGTCCAGTTCCGGACCTGGAGCAAACACTCGCCCCGGCGATTATTCGTTCCACCCCTCCCGATTCGAATTCGGCCTCCACCCTGCCTCAATGAAAAAATTGAAAAATCCTCTCAATTTTCCGAACGAATATGTTGCCTAACTCTCCAAATCTTTCCCCCCTTCTCGTTCCAATTTTTTTTTTGCTTTTCCCCTCCATTGACGATCCCCTGTTCCCGAGACAAAATTAATAGAAAATGGAACGAGCTAGAAAAATTCAGATTAAAACTTGGAGAGAAATTCGGGGTGGATAGAAAAGGAAGAAAATCAGGGAGAAGGGGAACACTTCCCGAGGTCCCTTTTCTATTCCAGTCCTTTTCTTTAAGGATTTTACCTTACTTCCTCTTTACATAATTACCAGTTCGCGATAAAATGAGAAAGATTGAAAAAAAATAGATTAATCCTACGAATGATAAAATTGGGGGAAAAATGGGAATGCAGAGGCAAGGAAGAAAGAAAATCGGGGTGAGAAGGGAAACATTTCGCTTCCCTCGGGATTGCCGGTCGATCCCACCCCCCTTCCCTCCCGGCGTCCCAGGACGTCGCGACGCGTCGACGGGCGTCCAAAAAAGGGAAATAACGACCCTCTGCACAACGAGCCAACAGTCACCCCGTGTAATTCCCTCGGTCGGGTTCCGCGCGTAAACTTCCGCACTGCGGCCATTCCGCGCGGTTGGCCCCTCGATTTCCCAATTAATCGGGATCCGCGGGTCTTCCTCGAATAGATTGCTCGCCGTTGGGCACTTTTCGGCTTCCGCCCGGTCGTTTCCTCTCCAATTAATTTCCCACGCGCGACACGATCGATCGATCGATCGATCGATCGATTGATAGGGAATTTCATTCCTGGCGTCGAATCCGGAGAAAACAAGGGGAAAAAACGGGACTCCCGTGTCCCGAGGGACTCTGACTACCCCTGATGGAAGAGCTCTCCCCCACCACCCTTTTTTCGGATGTCCTTGCTTATCACTGGCTTATCACTGATTTATCACTGGGGCGTATTGAAGAGTTCAATCGCGAGGTTCTGTCGAAGAGGATTTATAAAAACAATAGCAGATCATTTCCATACGGGTTGATTTAGGGTGATCCCTTGATTCGCTTATCACTGGCTTATCAAGCGGTGCGTCGAGTTCTGTCCTCTCTATATTGTTGAAACAAAATTATAACAAAAAAATGGGGGGGCAAAACCTTGCACGCGTTTTGATTTAATGAATCTCCTGGGTGTTGATTATTCGTTAATTTGCAAGGGGTGAAAATGGGGTCTCGTGCGTAAAGTCGCTCACCGTGATCTGATTAGCTGATTTCGCACATAAATTGGGTGGGATAAAAAAATGGAGGCTCATCCGTTTTCGGTGGGTGCACCGAAACAAAACAAAAAATTGCGGGAGAGCATTTCTCTCCTCGTCGAGGTGTAAACTGGAGCGAGAGGAGTGTCATTTAGTGCAATGTCGCGGAAAGGGGTAGAAAGGGTGCAAGGGGTCGATCGGTGATATCGCGTTCTGGAAGAGGAACCAACAAGGGATTTCTGGCCTGAGGTGAAACGCCGACGAGTCGGTGCATCCTCGAATGAGTGGAGAACAAGTGGCGAACAAGTGGAGGCCGAGGTGCGGAAAGGGTGCGGAACGGATGCGGAACGAGTGCACCCCGAAGGTCGGCCACTTCTTCGATGCCCTCGAAGACCTTCTTCTCCTCCACCCTCTTCGGGGCTTCTCAAGATCCACTTTCGCCTCCTTTGTTTCCCTCCTTTTGGTTTTCTCCGTCTCGTCTCATTTCTTTCGGCATATTCGTCATTACGTCGCTTTCCTTTCCCTTCCTTCATTTTGCGGTCCCCTTCCTCAACCTCATCCCTTTCGCTCTTCTCTTATATCTCGTGTCCCTCTTTTTCCTCCCTTTTATTCTCAATTTTTCCCCTTCTTCGCTTAATCTCGGACACGGCGCAGAAGTTTCATCTCTCCGACATGTGTCTTCGGGATCCTCCTCGGGATCTGAAGATAATTAGAGGAGAAGGGGTGTTATCCGACTTTTGGAGAGATCGATCATCTCGCGGCTGACTTCCCCCTCCTTCTTCCCCTTTCTTCCTCTCTCGCTCGCTTTTTTCCTCGACTTTGGCCCGGCCACGAAACTCCGACCTCGAGTTGCGCCCCCGGGAACCTTTTTCCTGCTCTTCTGGTCGGCGTTTCGCCGATAATTCGACTCGAAGGACCGATACGGCCTTTCCTAGCGATTGATTAACTCGCTAGGGACCTCGAGGGTCACGGAAACCCGTTTTTCCGTCTTTTCTTCGCCTTTTTTTCCTCCCAGTTCCTCCCCAGGAACCTATTTCGCTCTACTCTGACGACGATGGTAATTCGACGCTAAGGAACCGTTTCTCACGAGTAGCCGCGGCAGTTTTGCAAAATTCATAAAAAAGGGAAAAATGTGAAATTCCCGTCTCCTATTAAAGATCTGGAATTTTGAGGAAATCATTTCCCCCTATCAACTTGGAAAACTTCGGGAACCTCGA